GAAATGTGCTTTTTGCAAAGCGCAACTGCCTGAAGGTACACAACTGCACATCCAAGGTAAAGTGGACGCCGTTAGCTAATTTCATATCGTGTAGTTTATTACTACAAGGTAGCACGAATTGTTCTCCCGCCACCCATCGAAGAATAGACACAGCGGGCGGTGAACTTTCAGTCGCTTTATTTAACAAAAGTAACCAAATAGTTAGGATAGTAATAGTTACAAGTACGTATTCACACACAAACTGCCCTCCGCTGCAACAATTAGCTAATGGTTAGCCAATTAACAGTCAGTCATTCGGGGTGGATAAAAACAAAAGAAAACAAAAAAAAAGTGCTTCACTGCGGTCACATGACCCTGAACAAAATAACTGCATGTTAAATTGCAATTGCAATAATGACGAAAAAAATGCAATTGGGTTATCTGTCAAAATCGTTCAGCACCAACAAACAGTAACGTAAATGTCAGCCCATGACTCGGCTGTCACGTAATGCAGTTCTAGTAAAACGCGTTGACCGGGATGATTTAGGTTCCGAAACGTGAACGATGCAGCTTAGAAGGTGAACCAAGCGATTGAGGAGGCTGAGATGTGGTGTAATCCTGCTTTTAAAAGGACGTGACAAGTGCAGGTTTCTAACATGCACCGCCTAAAAAAAAGAAGGGGGAGGGTGGGGGGAAAAGGTGATGTGAGAGGAGAGCTTTGACAAATCTGTTGAGGATAAGAGAGAGCAGGCCCGGGAAGTGGGGGGTCGCTCGATCATCAGAATGTCGGGCCGTGTTATTATAGTCTGAGTTGGACAGCAGCGGCGGGGGGAGGACGAGGAGGACAAGGGGGGGAAGAGGAGTTGGAAGAGGAGGAGGGACGCAGCAGACAGGAAGAGGGCTCGCCGTCTAATCCTCCAATTTTCTTACATTACTAACCCCCAACCGCCCCACCTCCCTCCTTATCCCCACCTCTGCCGACAAATGAAACTGGAGATGGCGACGGCTTCTTTCCAAGATTGACTTGCAGGAGGAAAACACACATCGGGAAAGAGGAAGCAAGTCGGAGACCTGCGGCACCTCCGGCAACATAAATGGAGCCACAAGCCCTCCGTGAACCCCTTCGTGTATGGTTCCTAAGCAGGTTTCTGTGTGTGTGTGGGGGGCGGGAGGGGGGTATTTTCTTTATTTGCGACATACATTTGTGTCAGTAGCAGCTACACAAGAAGCCCTTCAGCGATCAATAACTTCCTGCTGATAAAGGGGACAAATCAGATGACGGCATATTAAATTAAGATATCGTTTTACGTTCTCATTCATGGAGCACGCTTGAGAGTTTCATGGGCATTTTTCTTCCTCACTTGCTTGTTGCAATTTTACTATGGTCTATGTTTTTGTTGTTTTTTTTTTTTTTTAAATGTATTGTTATTTTTACCTTGATCTACTCTTCAGGTCAAATGTGACTTGTGCTGACATTTGACAGCAAAAAAAAACAAAAAAACAAAAACAAACAGTTCCCCTTCTAGAACACAGCATTTCTGAGGTCTCTTGAGCAAGGCAGCCAACTCCACAGCTGCCGAGTTTTCCACTACTTCGGCCTGTCACGATTGGTTTTCTTTTGGTTCATTTTAGAATAATAATAGTCATGTGATGTCCAAAGAACCACCACGCAACGGCTCAATATCAATCGTGCACTTCATTTCCAGCATTTAACTGCAGCGAAGAGAACAAAAGCAGTGTTAACAACGATTCCGACATGGCTGCCGTGCGACTCTCTCCGGCTGCTAGATTGGTTCACATTCCAGTCACCTCTCGTTGGGCGAGGCAGAACCCTGACTGAGCGGGACTAATTTGCCATGCTAATGAGATGGCACCAGCAAACACAGCCAGCTGGAGACCAGAGTAAATGATCCTGTCATCGGGCGAGAACACAAACACGGCTAACCGCTAATTAGCGCGCCTCCGCTCGCCTGGGTGACATTCCTGCCGGAATCGGAAGAACGGCGATGAAGAACAGAGGGCCGGGTGGTGGAAATTGGACGCAAAGGCAGCTTATATATTTTGCAGCGTCGGGTGCTGATTCGTCCTCCTTTCATTTTTTTTTTCTTTTTTTTTTCGGTGCGCCGTGCGCTGAGGGGTGTGTGTAGTGTGCCATAAGAATAAGGCGGGAAAATATGCTAAGCAGACAATCAAGGTGTACCCCCTGGTGCTAAACAGCCAATCATGGCGGCCCCAGCGTGTGTCACTAGCCGGCGGGAGGCAGAATTAGTCCTGGTTAGCGGCCAGGGCCCCGCCGAGTGGCTGATTAGGCTTTTGGATGGAAGAGGAGACAGGACGGGAAAAAAGTCTGTCTGCTGCCATGAGGTGACCCAGACAAAGGACTTTTGATGCTGGGGAAAAAGTTGCTTAACCCTTTGACTGCAGCAGATATGGATGTAGCTTGACTTTATTTGAACGACTGGATCGCACTGATCCTCCCCCCCGCCTGAAGTGCGACACCTCTTGTGCTGAGATGGGCTGTTGTAACCTTGACGCAGAGTAAGCGTGTGCCTCTCACACACACACACACACACACACACACACACACACACACACACACACACACACACACACACGATGAAAACGGCCATCTATTCTTTCCTTGACTTGCATTATGTCAACGGAGACCTCTGGAAAAAAATTAACAGATCGAAAAATATGAACATAATGAGCACCGTCTTTTTCAACGAAAATGAATGGAAAGGCCAATCATTGCGTTTTAATGAGGGACACAATTAGGTCGCCGCCACGTGACTGTAAATTTTTTTTTTTTCATTTTGGCAGGACATGCCCTCCTCCAATACGATTGGCTGCTGCACCCAGGCAGTAAAGTAAATGTGAAGTTCAGTATGTATTATTTGGCCTTAACTCTCATTAATGCTCTGAAATTACAGGATTTCATTTGTGTTTGGTTTTAGGAAAGTATTTTATACTCCTTGAAAAAAAAAAGAGGTCTTTTGGGGGGTGTTTTTGGGGGGCTTGGAACGGAATAATGACATTTGCATTCATTTCAATTAGAAAAGATGATTTCAACCACAATATGAGTGGTTTTGATCACTGAATGATATTCGCTCGTATGTCAAGGCATCACATTTGAGTTACATCTGAGGGGGCGGGACGACTGAGCACCAGATGCTGATGATCCCCGAAGCTCGTGACTGTGATTAAGCCCACCCTTAAATGGCGTACACACAATGCCACACGTACACACGTCGCTTTCACCGTGCGGAGGCAGGATTAACCTGCTGCTGGCGGAGTAAATCCAGTGCTGCCTCCGCCTCGCCGTCTCCCTGTCTGGTTATCCCTTCGCACAAGCGCCGCGCTCAAAGGGGACGACCGCCGGGGATTAATGACGTGTTAAGGGGGCGACAATGGAGGATTTAGATGCAGCTTGCAGTAAGGACAGGAGATTTGAGAACACGGGCCACCGGTTAGTGCTCGCTGAAGTATAATTTGGTCCCAGCAAACCCGCCCGCCCTCCACACACAAACACACACGCACAAACGCACACAAAGCATGATGGACAGGTCATGTATTATTATCTTTGCATGTGCCGAGAGAATAGTGCGGTGGCAAGCTGGTCCTATAGTAAATACACCTTCAGAACCCTGCTGACCTTAAACTCAATAGCAGCCACCCACGGAATCAACTGGAGGAGCCTATGTATTGTTTTCAGATGTTGACACGTTCTTAAACGGGGTGCACACAAACCGATTTGTGAAAGTTACGCAACCCCACTCATGCCGAGGGGGGAAAAAAAAGACCCGTGCTGCTATTGTCCTTGTAACGTTTAATGCTATGTATTACTAATGACCACAATATCTCGACGGACAATGGGATTTAAGTTGTAGTACCAAGGCGGACCTGTGAGAGGCAGCATGGTACTACTGGGCATCCAAACTGAGTTCAAAGAAGAAGAAAAAGTATTCACAGCAGAAGGTAAGCCAACCCTTCGCTTGTCTGGTAGCTACATTGCAACTGCAAACTCACATTTTTAATGTAGTGAATGACTTATATTTAGTGATTTATATCATAATCTATCTGTGTCTGAAAACAGTGTGAGCATGGGGTAATTTGCTAATTGGCTCCCGTTCTGCTTCATGTCACAATCACCATTGCCTTTGTAAACATTGAACAGATGCGAACCGTTTTTTTTTAATTCAAAAATCACACTTAAGATGCACCCCCAACACTACAGAATGATTACTCAGGAAAATCTTGAAGCGACATTTGAAAATTCAGCCTTCAGACAGGAATAGAATAAAAATGCTCATATATCAGGAAGTGTGTAGCCCAATGTTGCCATATTTTCTTTATCCTCTGCATAGAATGATGATTACTAGTGCTGTACTGAAAATCCGAGAGATGAGTGAAAACATTTTGAACCCCACTCAAGTTCCAGTACCAACTGGTCTGGGTCCCCAAAATGGGATCCCACTGCACTTCAGTTCATTGATTTCTTCTTCCTGAGAAGACAAAAAAAAAAAAAAATGCTGCGTGTCCCCCATTGATTGATTTTGGTCACATTCATCTTCTTGGTTGAATTCACCAACACACCACCATGGAAACACCAACCAGATCGGGGTTTACCGTCGCGCAAAAGTACAGAACTACTGCCTGGTGGAAATGTGGCTCTTGATATAGCCACTGTTCCATTTGTTTAGCAGACAAGAAACTTTGCTGTTTAGAGGGCAGGTAATAAACCAAGGAAACAGTTTCCAGTTGTCACGTTTTGCAAGGTGGTAGTTGGAGGACCCCAAAAAGCAGGGAGGCAGGGAGGAGCAGGGTGGATTGACCAAAATGTATTTAACAAAAAATACACACGAGACAACGAGAAACACCTGGACAAGACACAAAGGGCTGAGGGAGCTAATTGGTTACACACAAGGGACACTGATAACGACAACAGGTGGCGAAAAAAGGGCACATGAGGAATCAAAAACAAACGTAACCAGACCGAAACATAACACCAGTGACCTTTAAAACTGTGCCACCAGATGTGGTTTGCGCGAATCAATGAGTTTTGACATTATGACATAAAACATTTAAGCCTCACCATTAAGTAAAGCAAGATTTACGTTACAATTATGATGTGGTGCTTTGACCTTTTGGAGTGTTTAGTCGCGCCTGCTTTCAAGTTTCAATTTTGGCTCGCAACACAAGGCAAAAGAAAAAAAAAAGTTTTTAAAGTGGTCAACTCATAAGTGAAGTGACCACTGCATAAATATTTTGCAGCACGTCTGCCTCACCATTTTTTTTTTCCTGAAACTTGAGGTCAGATTCTCACTTGCAATGCTGGCCTGGCTGCTGACAGCAGAGTAAAACACAGCAAAAATAAACACACGATTGAAACTACTGGCTTTAAAGTAAGCCAAATTGGGCGAAATAACTAAGCCCAAAACGGGGAATAGAAAATGGATGAATGCATATTTAGGAACTGGGGTTGTGCAATGTGTTTTGCTCATGCAGACCAAGTGTGGTGGGGGCGGGGGCGGGAGGGTTGAATTGGGTCATGTCAAGCATGTAGGTGCAAATCCAGCCTATGGTTTATGGTTGCACATTTGTACTTTATGTTCCAGCCAGCACTCCAGCTGTGGTTCGCCTCGCATTTAAGGACATGTACGAAATGAAAGTCGGCTCACCTTTGCTGAAATAGAACTCCTCGTGTGGCACACTGGACAAGAGCAATGTGTTCATCTTTTTTATTTGTATGGGGGGGGGTGATTTGTTGTGTTGATGAGAAGCAGTCATAGCTGACAATGGCCTACAGTTAGTCACCATACCCTGAACCTGCCAGCCCGCCCGGTTCCTTCTTACCACCACACACACATATACACACTGACACTCATATCCAGCCTGCTTCCCGTCTCAAAAACCTTCTCCCGTGCAATCTCCTGTGCATCAGCTGCCAAATGAAGTTCCTCTTTAGAAGACCGAAAAAAAAAAAACAAGAGCCTGTGCTGTCAAATCGTCAGAGGCTCGGTGGCCGGCGGCATAGGCAGCCCTTGTGCTGAAGCCAATAATCCGTCGTCGGGGCTTCAGGCGTGCAGAGAGCCGTGATTGACAGGGCTCGATATGAGGCCCTCGCCTCACTTGACATTTGGGTTTCATAAGGTCTGGAACAAAAGGCAGGGGCAAAATAATCAGAGACGGGCGCAGGCAAATAAATCTGTTTATTCCTCCTCACCTAACACCCCTCCGCCCCCCTGTGCGCCGCCTCCCTCACTTCAGCACCTCCCCTGCTCGCCCACATCAAGGCTCGACCGCTGGAGAAGATGGAGGGAGGGCACGATATTGCCTTTTCTGAGCCTTAGTGGATTCACGCGCCGCGACAGCGGGTCACTTTAGGCCCTGTGCTTACCTGAGATATTAGTTTGTATGTGTGCTGGATAGAGATGTGTATTTGGACAGTGTGTGTGTGTGTGTGTGTGTGTGTGTGTGTGTGTGTGTGTGTGTGTGTGTGTGTGTGTGTTTGGACTCACAACCCGGTGTCTGTATGAGCCAACAGAAAGGATGAAGAGACAGATGCGGACAGTGGAGAAATATGCTGTCAAAGTGTAGTTGATTATTTGGAAGAGAGAGCCACATATTGGCCCCCGATGGCCCCTGTTGGGGAATATCAGGCCCGACTGAATACCTCGGAATCGGTAGTAGGAGGAGACTTATTATGCAAACGTCAATGAGTAGTGTGAAAATGGTGGGCGGAACCCTGCGTTGCTTACCTCCATGGTTATTAGCACTTCACTTAGAGTGACGAAGGCGTATACAGTAGCACTGGTTGCTGGTATGGGGGCTTATTTCTTCTACACCTGCTCTATCTAATGACATCCAATATAAAATTGTATACTTTCGAAGTCTTTAGATCAGAGGTGTTAAATGGTCAGGGGCCACATAAATTGATTTCAAGTGGGCTGCATAATAAATAGTATAATTGAGTTTTTCTCTTTATTTCAATGCAACGCAATAGTACATGAGTAGGCACACGTCACAGAGAGAAGGTGGATGAGCGAAGGGGGAGCATAAGTTGGATGTGGCATTCAGGGTGTGGGCTACGTCTTTGGGCTGGCGCGGCGGCTGTAGAGTGCCTTGTTGTTGGCCGTGAATGCATGCAGGTCACGCAGGCCTTGACAAGCTATTGCTGGCTGGTGGCTAATGGGGGTAAAACAGAGAGATGGCTAATAGTGGTGCAGATCAATGACACAAAAGCGGGTGGGGGATAGAAACACCCCTCACTGTCGCACACTGCCATTGTGGCACGGGAGTGTGATGGAAAATGTCATCCCAATAGCCAATCATTCAGGCACAAAGTCAGATGTTTAGTGAGGTAATAGAGGTGTAAAGTATGAAGTTATACAGTCATTTGGACACAATCTAGGTTCCAGTCTGAACCAAAATACTGTTGTACAGTATATGGCCCACTTTTGCAGCTGTAATAATACAGATTGTTCACATCAGTACACCTTCGAGCCTTAATTATTCATGTGCAATACAAACAGAATGGCCTACCAGTAAAGCTCAGTGACAATTTAATTTAATGGGGTTGTAAAATGCAAAAACGCGGAAATCAAAGCAGACTGTTTTAATGTCTTAATAAATAAATGGCAGGAACAAACAGGAGCGCATGTTCGCCTGGGAGTCTGTGATAAAACACACATAAATCTACGGATAGTTACAAACCTGTGTCATTTAGCATCAGAGGCTTGGAGCCCCACGTGGGGTGCAGTATACTCGCCTCGCGTCTTGCAGGTGGTGATTGGACAACAACGGAATGATTGACAGCCAGCTCTCGCGCCTGCTGGCCTCTTCCCTCTCGCCATTGGTCGCCGTTAATGACCGCCTCCCCTCCAGCAGCAACGAATCGAGAGAACTAGGAAGTTGTAGTTTTTTGTGGGGCACTCACACACGCAGGCGGGCGTGTATTAAACTACACGTCCCGACGCGACGTCAAAGTCGCGAATGGTGTAATTGCGCTCATTTTTGACTGGCTGCTTCTAAAATGTGGTACGGCTGAGAAGGGGGGGACCAAGCGAGCAGTCAGTGTAGCTGAAGTGGTGGCCGCCACCGGGATGCGCACGTCAACCGGGGGGAGAAAAGTCGGAAATTAACCGCTTGCCACCGCAGCGGGAGGACAAGTGGGGTCAAGACAATGGCGGAAAAGCACCGCTAAGAAGAGGAAATTCAACAACATAAGCGACTACGCGGGAATATATTCTTTTACGTACCTGACTGTCCGACGGTGTGAGACTTTTCCCCCCGATTCGTCTACGAGAATGGCGACCAGCCAACGGTTCGAGGATGTTCTCACTCCGCTGGCCGGCTTCTAACTGACAGACTGACTGACTGACCTTTTACGCACGGGACCGAGCCACGCTTTCTTCTTTTGTTTTTCGTCTTCGCCGAGGAGGAACTTCTCAATGCCTTTTTAATGATTCGAGACTTGAGCAAGATGTACCCGCCGGCACGGCATCCGGTAAGTACAAAGCGGTATCCGTGTTGTTCAACAACAAAAAAAGGTTCTACTGTATTAAGAGGCACGCGCCTGATGCGTAATCACTTTGGATCGGGTTTCCGTGCCGTTGCGCACTCGCACGGACAATTGCGCTCATTGACCGACTTTTGCGCGCGCATGTGCGCTTGTGTCTGTGTGTGCGCACGTACGACGGCGCGCGCACGCGCTTGTGTGTGTGTGTGTGTGTGTGTGTGTGTGTGTGTGTGTGTGTGTGTGTGTGTGTGTGTGTGTGTGTGTGTGTGTCTAAAGAGAGACATGATGAAGGAGGCTGGGTGAAGCCTGAAGGCAGCGTGAGTGACAGAGGCTCATTGTGGTCATGACAGTGGAACCTCAGTTGTCTCAGTTGTCCCTCTCTTCTTCTTCCTGTCCATCTTCTTTCATGGTTCTGTCGCTTCGGTTTGAGGTCCCACCCCAGCCTGGGCAGCCATTTAAGTTCACCGTGTCCGAATCCTGTGACCGAATCAAGGAGGAGTTCCAGTTTCTCCAGGCCCAGTATCACAGGTGAGAGAAACACATGCATTCATTTTCGGTCGCAGGTGAGCTGGAAGCTATCGTAGCTGACTTTGGGCCAATTGCTGGCTATATTCTACAAAGAGCCAAAGACTCTCATATTCACAACTTAAGAGAGAAATCCCACATAAGCACGTTATATCTCCACACAGGGAGACCAGAGGTTGTTTTCAAAGCCCCAGCCTCAAACCTGTGAGGCTAACCAGGCCAACAACTCAAAGTCTACCACAAAATAAAATGAACTTTACACAATCAGGATTTCAGAGCCATTTAGTGAGTTAAAAAAAGAACGAAAGCTATTCACAGTATTATCAAACGGTGCTGTGCAGTCAACCACTGCTATCCGCAGTGAGTGGGACTGTCCCGGTCGACAAATAGTCAGAATTCCCGTATAATTGATGCCCATTGAAGTGCACTGGTCAGAAATGATAACAATTAATCCCCCCCAAATTTTCCCCAAAACGATGAAAAACATTCAATACACAGATAATGAGGGGAAAAAAACAGAAACTCCCCCACAAGCCGATCAGATATGTGTAAAGTCTAAAAATAATATCACACTTGTTTCAACTATATTAATTCTCTTGAGATACAATGACTTATGAAAAGACACTGACTTTTACACAATAAACGTGGATTTTTACGTTAAATCGTTCACTCATCAGTCAAATGGAAAGTAGTTTTCAAACACAACTCATTGTTGCTGTAAAATGTACGAGTTCAACTTCAGCTGGTTGATTCTGCGTAATGAATATTGCCCAAATTATATCACATTACATTGTTTAACGATACGTGTATTTTGCAAAATCAACACAAACAAAGCACTTCATTTTCATCCATCTTGTGATATGTTGCTCTACGCTCACGGCGAAAACCAAACAATATCTTTCTGTACTGGCCGACTGTATCGTTCAATACTTTTCATGATGCATTGTGGGATTCATTGAGGGCACTATATGCGACATATGACAAAGTCGAACAGCGCAACCCCTGACGGGACAAGCCGAAAGTCGCAACGTCACCGACAACTACAACATGGCCAACTCACGATTTAGGGCACTGGATAGTTCAGGGGTGCCCAAGTCCGGTCCCTGAGAGCCCCTATCCAGCCACTTTTAGATCTAGTCTCCCTCTTCCAACGCACCTGATGAAAATGATCAGGATCGTCATCAGGCTCCTCAGAGCTTGCTGATGAGCTGATCATTTGAATCGGGTGGGTGGAGGAGGGAGACATTTAAAACAGGATGGATAAGGGGCTCCTGAGGACCGGGCTTGGGCTCCCCCGGTATAGCTAATAGGGAGTAATTAGCCCTCGGTCTGGATTATAGTTCCCCTGACTCGCCCTGTTGATGTAAATGAATGATAAGAAAGGCACAAGACCCGATAAAAGTGACCCATTTGGGGAATCGAAGCAACGGTCAAGATTGTACCAGGCAGGGGTCCTTAAAATTCTTTGGTCCAGCTGGACGCTTCACAATCAAAGTCCCCCTTTGAATGCTAACGCTACTTAAACGTAACCGTCATGATGACCGCTAAATAACAGAGGAACATTATTCATCGTCACTTGGTAGAAATGCGACGCGCATGAAGGGACTTCAGGTTATATGTGATACGTTTCAGTCCTATCAGGGCTATAAATTGGCACAAAGCTCAGGTAGAAAGGAGTAATTTATTTCGTATGTTTGATTTAGTGGCGCGCTGGCACCCGTATATACTGGACAGTACGAGGCTCACAATGTTTTGAATCAATTCGATAATTTCGAGAATCACTGGCTTCATTTGAGGAGCAAATTTCTAAATTTGAGGAGTATATATATATATTTTTTTTTTTTGGGCATGTAAATCCCAGGGACCTGAAGCAAGGGTTTTATGAAGCAATAAAAATACGACACTATAACGAATAAACAATTGTTTTTCTTTTTAATATAATCAACTGTTGTCTTCAATTCACATTGTTTACGACAGCAAACCGGATTTTTTTTACTTCTTGTAGCAAAGCTTGGGGAAAAAAAAAGAAAAATAAGAAGATGAGAACATTTTGACTCACAAAATGTGATACTACGCAATTTACAGTAGATACATACCCTTTAAAAAAAAAAGAAGATACTGCATTGTAGGTTATTGGAATTATTTATTTATTTGTTTGTTTATTTATTTTTTGGGGGCGCTGGTTCTCAAACTGGGGTCTCCCAGGCGCCCGGGGAGCCCAGTTTGAGAACCGCTGCCTTCAGGAACCCAATTGGGCTTCCGCTTATTTCAAAGAAATATGCCTTGCGTGGACACGATACATGGCAGAAACAGTTTCTGGACAGCCATCGTTGCCGAGCCCACGTTCGCCCTCGTTTCCACCGATTATACGCTGGTGACTAACCACAGGTAAACCCCATCAACCTCCACATGCACGTCTGCCTCTGCGAGTGCACGAAGTGTGAAATACTTTTTCGCCGACATGATGAAGTGTGAAATGTATTGCTCGGGGCAGATCCACAAGCGCCATACCAATGCATAATAATCACCCACCTCTGTCCGCCCCTGTAATTATTGGCCAGTCACCTGGTGAGTGTTGGCCAGTGGCTTTCTTAAAGGACCGAAGTGAGACGCATTATGCGAGCCTGCAGGAGGAAAAAGTAAGAAAAAGCAAAGGAGATGTTTTTTTTTTTTCTGGAGGTATTGGAAAAATAAGCATTAAAACACACAAGAATCTCTTGTTTTCTCGCTTCGTTTAATTCCTAAAAATCCATGAATCCGTACTCAATCATTTCAATAGACAGCCATGTACTTCTTAATAAGGTGCTAAGTGAATACCGTATTTTTCTTGTCAGATGGAGAAACCAAATAAAGCACATGAGGACAACACTTGAATGGATTTCTTTTATCCGCGTCTGACATTATGAAAACGAATTTTTTCAAGTCATAAGGTGTCTCATTCAGTGTCACAAAGTAAAATCCTTATTTGGAGTAGTTGATATTCATGCTACATTTCCTCATCGTGGCGAAGCGCATCGATTCAAATGAAGAGGCTGTTTTAAATTTTTTGACTTGGGTTAGCCATTTTTTTCTTACAAAGCTTTTTTTTTTTATGAGATCAGTGTATACTTGAGCAGCTTTACAAATGTAACTTCTGTACCAAGGTTATTACAGGTAACAAAAAAACTAAAATTAAAATTAAAAAAAATTTTTTGTTCACGAAATAAAATAAAATTAACGGGGCTATGTTCATAAAACAAACTAAAACCAAATATAATTACAGCGAAAATGTCCTTCATTTTCATCTTTGTCATTTAATTTTTTTTTTTTTTTTTTTTTTTGGGGATACAGATCATAGACGATCGAACAGTTGCTTAGGAATTGTAGTTTATATTTTCATCTTGCCCCAAATAATCTATAAAAAAAAAGTAAAAATAGATACTAAAACCGACAAACGTGATTAAAATGAAGCAATCCGCAATATAAAAAACAAACAAACAAAAACGAATACCAAAACTCATTAAGCTAAACTCACACGAAGCATTCCCCCCCAAAAAAAACTAACTGCACAAGGGTTAAAACTAACTGAACCAAAACCAAAATTCAAAACGAACTAAAACGATCTATGATATAAAATCGCAAACCATTATAACCGCGGTCTGCACTTGAAGTTTGAAAGGCAACCACTACAGAGACATCTTCTAAAGATTTTTTTTTTTTTTCACTGAATTTCTTTACCATTTAAGTATTTCTGTAATGCACCACAGCTGTAGTGTGACCTTGGAAAAAAAGCAGTTTTCAAGCCTGTCTGTTAGAAAACGAAACTCATGAGGATGGAAACAAAGAAGATGTATCACCGATGCTCTTTAATGTATTACAGAAAAGCTCCAAATACACACTTGTAGTTATTCAGTTCACTCCTTTATTGGTGTGTCAGCAGCCTCGCTCTACCTGCACTGATAAGGTTCGGCCTCCTGTTATCTCATAAAACACTCACGCTAAAGAGTCATAAGTGGTAAGTGGATAGTTTCCTGTAATAGACGAGAAATAGGAAAGGGTTAAGCTTTCGTGTAACCACACTTGTGATATGGACCCTCGTTATATGGTCGTTTTTTTTGTCGATGGTGCAATTCGGGCCTCATGTTGAGGTTTGTATGGTTCTCTATTGATCCATTAATTACTGAGATGTACGTGCTGAGTAAGTGTCTGCAGGGGAAGCCGGCGAGATCCGAAATGCCACATTAAAGTAGCAGGATGTGGTCGCATGCTGCTCTTGCTTTTTCATCCTTACATCGTTTTTGTGACAAAACTGAATCGCTAAGAAAGTGCAGAATGTGTTGATGTGACAGATTTTTTTTTGTCACCCCACCCACCCCCAACCCACATTGACCTCACAGTCTGAAAATGGAGTGTGAGAAACTGGCAAGTGAGAAAACGGAGATGCAGAGACACTATGTCATGGTGAGTTTCGCACCGCACGATGGTGTGTGTTTTGATGCAAAAAGGAAAACACGCCGCGTTTCATTTTCTTCGCTCTGATCTTTGTTTTTCAGTACTACGAAATGTCATATGGACTCAACATTGAGATGCACAAACAGGTAGGAAACGTTTCAGAGTTGTGACGCAAACAAAAAGTGCTGAGACTGGTGGCAGAAGCAACCTGGTGGAATTTACTGGCGACTAATTTGACGATAGCAAATAGTCCAGTTTGTTATTTTTACCACCGGGGTACAGAAATTGGTTCACTATCGCCACCTTCCTTGAGGCAGAGGTACTAGCTGCCTCAAGGCAAGCATTTTCACTGTGGATTTTATGTCATATCGGCTGTCCATGCCTCTCCTCTCGTCTCCAAAGGAGACTCCGTTTATTTAAGCAGGAAATAGAGAATTTTCTATGATTTTTACTATTTAAAAAATGGTCAAAATACATAAAGAGCCCCACCAAAATCATAGTCCAGAGGACAAATATTAATACTTGTGTGATTTGATTATTTCGTTTCTTTTTCCTCTCATAATGACAGGGGAGGCACGGCCTTGCCTGCCTCCCCTGACTGCACGTCACTGGAGTTGTACAATCTACAGAACCCCGACCACAAATATAAGTGAAATTGTAGGAAGCATTAATCAAGATTTCTACTTTAACAATTGAACATGCAATCCACATGTCTGAAAGGTCATTGTTTATCATACCATCCACAGACAGCATTTCATGCATTAAAATGTATGCCACCCTTGCCCAACTCACTCGTAATACAAGTAGGAACAAATCCAAGTAAAAAGCAACATTTAGAATGAGTGAAGAAGTAAAGAGCATGTTGTGCCGTGATGTTTCTTGTGCTTTATTCAACTCGTGATGAGTTGAATAAAGGAGCCGTTGATCGTTGATCGGCGCTATGAAAAATGGCATCGCTCATCGGTGACAACTGACCACCGCCGTTGTCATCGTGTGTCATCACGTGGAGCGACTCTTTAATTCAGCGGTCACCAACCTGACGCTCGTGGGCAACATAAGTAGCCCGCGAGCCTGTTCTTAAAAAATAGTTCACCGGTGACGGGACATTGGCATTTCCGAAGTATGTGGTGGAAGTGATCTTTTAAATTTTTCTTAAATGATGAATACACAATTTAGTCATAAAAAGTCATTTTTGCTCAACATTTAGGGCTTCTGCCGGGTTTTAATGTCCGTCATTATGGTGACACTTTGAGAGCAAAGTGTTTTTTTTTGTTGTTTGAGAAGCTTGAGACCCACTGTACTCGGTCAGAACTCCTCCGGCAATCCTTATTATTCTTTTCATCCGAGTAAGCTGTTTCCCCTTGCCCCCCCCCCCCCAAAAAAAAATTATGATAATAAAATAAAATAAATTACTCTTATGGATGAGATTATGGCCATAAATGAGCTTTTGCAAACTATTTCCCCCCGCGCCCCCTAAGGGCAGGGTGGTGCCTTTAGGAGAAACATCTGTGTTAAGCGCTCATCAGCTGCGAGGTGAAATGGGCCACGGCTAGCCATGAATTCACCTAAACACGCACGTACGTGTGTGTGTGTGTGTGTTTGTGTGTGTCCCTCGGCAAAAGAACCCTATCATTACGCGAAATAATCCACACGGTATCATGACGGTTTGATAGCAATCTGTAGTTGTTTTTCTAATCCCTTGTTAAACTGTGTTGACGACTGAAAGCAGCTGAAAAATGCTTTGCCATGCATTGTGTGTTTACCTGCTTGCGTGTGGCAGCCCGTTTGTATACGATACATGTTTACTTATTGTGCAGTACCGTGTATATACGCGTCTGTATGCACATCGCAGTTATTGATTTAATTTTGCGTACGCATCGTTCCGCATTGTAGTGTGTATGTATGTTTGTGTGCATCAATTGCAAGGTGTTTATGTGTTTCGGTATGACAAGCGTGCGCTTGTTTCCACGAGGGAATGTTGCACACGTATGCAGCTTTCACGGCGCACTAATCAGAGCGTCATGATGAAAAATGGGGTGTCCATATAAATCCTGCTGCTGGCCACTTTTTGAGGCCCTTTGTGTGCGCGCGGCTGTCTATAAAGCCAAAATGGAAACAAATACAAATGTGGCCGTTTTTTTTTTTTGTTTTCGTTGGGCGGGCAGTTCAATGATTTCCACTGTGGAGTGCGAAAACCTCTTCCATCTGTATTTGCGTGTCTCTTGTGGAACCGAATGATTTTAGCTGGACGTTTGTGTGCACACTCCTACGCAAGCAGGCCTCTGTGTAAATGTGTCTTTGGCGTATGATCTGAGCATACCGCTCCCTGACAGAGGTGGCAAAAGTACTCAGGGTCTGTACTTAAGTAGAAATACACGCAACGCACTTGTGTTCAAAAAGACCAGTGAAAGTAGAAGTGCTGATTTAACTCCTGTACTTGAGTGAAAGTAAAAAAATGACAGATTTTCAAGTGTAAGTACTAACGTAAAAATGAAGTATTACTGATGATAAGTTGGCACAAGAAAAAAAAAACTTTTTTTTTTTTTTAAATAAAATAGTTTGAAAATTTGCAAGGTGTACCTCCAGTGGCCCATTTCACGATACGGTTGGGCAAAAAGAGCAATATTGTACAGTTTGACAAATATCTGGTCTTCCCATTTTTTTGTGACAAGCATTGCATTTGTCAAAATAGTCCCGCTGGTTAATTTTAATGCACGGCGCCATGTTAGGAATGGATGTGACATCAAGTCTTTGACTGGGCTATCCCTTGCACGCACCACGTCAGCGTCGCGGGCTTCCTCATCCCGACAGCGAGACATCCCAGGATCCACCCAGCCGGTTAGATGGCCGTGAACGTGGCACCCAGGCTCGGATGTTTATATATTGATTTAAATGGGAAGGATGTAACCTGACCCGCATGACAGACGGTCTTCCGCGTTCGCAGGCGGCATCTGATTATTTATCATGCGCCGCAGCACCGGCCTCGTCTGACACAGAGTCAGCAAAACGGGCGTCGTCACTGACGCATTGATAAACCTTCCGTCAATGTGGACTCTGAAAAACTGCTCAGATTAGTCAGGATCTGACCAAGAAAATACGGCGCGGAATTGGGGAGACGGCCGTGCCTGTTGAGACCGCTACCTCGGTAATAAGGAATCCCATTCGGGTAGCTCTAATCAACCAGTCAGAGGATGGAAAAATGTGACATCTGTTAGAACCATACGACGATAGCTCTTGAATGCAGAATCTGAAATCCAACAGGGTCAGATTGGTTTAAAAACAAAACCCAGCAATTTCTATTGTTTGTGTGTCCGACGCCAGCATTCAAGATTTTGGTACGCTCTGAAATGAAGACAAAAGACTGTTGGAAATGAATTCAATTGGATATACGTTGTAAATTGTCACTGCTTTTGATCGTGTTTCGCGCCTTGGAATCCCTGAGTGTACGATGCCAAGATCTCCATCTACGCGGTTGACTTAACCCCGTTATATTGACACTTTCTTCTGCTGTGTTGTAAAGATAGCCTTATCTTGATATCTTGACAAAGTCATCATAGATTTTGTCGGGGTAAAATGAAAGAGTCGTCAGAGCAAGATAGCCGAAACTTCTACTCAACTTCCCACCGCCGCCCGCTGAGTGGATGTCGAGATCGGAATACGGGGTGGCGGCGGCGAGGGTGCTGCCGGAGCCTCGAGCTCCGGTCCCATTATGGCAGACGCTCTTTCCCACCAAGCGAATCTCTGATATTGCTTGTTTAGCATTTTCCGAGGGTAATAGGACCATTGATTTTTTTCGGCTCGGCTCTCTGTTTTATTTACACAGAAGGACCGCGTCGCCCGGGGAGCGAAATGTACCAACACTCGTTAGAGAGAAATTGACTTGTGGACTGAGCTCAGGCTGGCGAGGAGCGAGGTAGGAAGGGAGGGAGACAGGGGACCGTGAGGGCTTCGGATCCGGCGACTGAGCTACAAGAGGACAGCTAATCAATTGCAAATTAGTGTGACTGAAAGAGAAATAAAGCAAGCGATGGACGGGTGGCGAGAGGCGGAAGTAATAAGACGGCGCGATAGTGAGGAATGGCAGCGTTCTCAACCGGGGCTGACAACTCATTTACTGCGGCAGATGGGGAGGGGACGCATTCCATTCACTCGAAAGCTTTAACGTGGTTTTAGCATTCGCTGTCACTTTTGGAGATGGATCTGGAGTGAAAATTAAAACGGCTTTAAATTACCCGGAATAACTTTGGTGTCTGAAATGTGCAGACAGGTGACCTAACCTTAGCAGGCGGTCGAACCGGATGCGCTGACCACAAATACACTTCTCAGAAAGCGAAAGCCAGCTCACACGTCGAGCTTTCTTTCGCCTGCATACGTCATGATAGATTTGTGAATCTCGGCCGCTTCCTGCTTGGTACAGGAAGCCTTTCACACTGTAAAAACAAACCAAAAGAAACCAAAATGCCATCCTCCTTTGCTTTTCTTATTGCTCACAAGCTCACAATAGGGTCAAGTTTTGCCATGTGGACTAGTGAGAAAAATGTGCCCGGTTTTGCGCACCTGTCGACCAAAATGGAGACCGATGTGTTTATTAAATCAAGAGTCTCATCAGTATCTGTTGTTTAGAGTTTCATATAATTCATCCATCCATTTTCCGATCCGCTTTATCCTCACAAGGGTCGCCGGGGGTGCTGGAGCCTATCCCAGCTGTCTTCGGGCAGTAGGCGGGGGACACCCTGAACCGGTTGCCAGCCAATCGCAGGGCACACACAGAGACAAACGACCATCCGCGCTCACACTCACACCTAGGGACAATTTAGAGTGTTCAATCATGTTTTAAGAACGTGCAAGGAAACCGGAGTACCCAGAGAAAACCCACGCAGGCACGGGGGGGAGCATGCAACCTCCACAGCCGGGATCGAACGCACGACCTCTGCACTGTGAGGTCGACGCGCGAACGACTGGACCACCGGGCCGCCACATGATTCATTCATTTGTCATTTGGAGCCAGTCTCTATCAAATTGCTTTTATATCACAATGGAACCAGTTTGTTTTGAACCATACCAAGACCACCCCGAAGAGATGGGTGGGTGGTCCTTTTATAAATCACTCTTAAAGCACTAAATCGGTTGTCATCAAAAAAAAAATTCTGTTGGTGTGGACATTTCTTGGTTCCGACGAAAGACCTAACGCTCACCTCTCCTGCAACTTCACATATGTCAATCTCCACCTCCTGGTGTTTGCCGCGTTTAGCATTTCACCTGACGCCCTCATCGAAACAGCAAACCTCTCCTTGCCATATGAAGGGAATGACATTTTAAAACTACACAAAGCGACCATTGATCACCTCATATCAATGCTTTTATCCTGTAGTTTGACATTCTGTGTAATGCCCTTTGTTCCACAACTCTGTTTCCCTCCCTGGCTATCACACTATCACGCAGAGTCAGTCAGTCAGTCCCAGGGGAATGCGGTCTTTATACCGAGGGGTCCATTAGATGTATTAGCTGGTGGTGAAAAAGCAGTGCTGATGCCATGCTTACAAAGCTCCACGGGGAACACGGACATTTGATCTTCTCTCTGACGCAATGTGACTCCAGGGTGCCTGCCTGGTTTCATTTATCGGATGTGAGGTGTTAAGGTGGAGGCGCTGCTGTTTTTTTTTTCTGGGGGATCTTTTCAAGCGACATCCACTGCGATAAGCGGTCGACAGTGAGCCACTGTCATCTTATTATTCCCTCGAGGCCACGGTACTTTAACCTACGGTTGCCCCGAGTGTCAAAACACAATCCTACTTGATTACGGCACGATTCAAAGAGGATGTCAACCCCAAAATGTTCTTGACGTTATGTTAGACGCAGCCCCACGAGTCTTAGCGCGGTTTTAAGTAGCAAAATCGAACGGTTGTTATCCATCGCAGGAGGCGGCCATTTTGCCACTTTCTGTCGAGTGAAAATGACATCACAGTTGCTCAAGACTCACGGCTCATCTCTTTATGAAGATGCGCCGTGATTGGTTGTTACCCAAGCAACTGTGATGTCATTTTCAGACGTCAGCAAGAGGCAAAATGGTCACCCCCTCCGAGATGTTCAAAAGAGGTTTTGCTGCATATTTCACAAACGTAATATTAGTCAGAATGCTCTGTTGAGACTCATGGGTCTGCATAGAATTTATTATTGTGAAGAATGTTTTTTGGGTTGACTATGGGCCTTAGAGATGTGGATTTTTTTTTTTTTTAAGCCTGATGCATATTCAGATTTTTGGCAAAATGAAATCCCCCAAAACAGGGGCAACAAAATCTGCAAAAGTCACACTTTTTTTTTAGGGGGCATGTTTGAATGATCTTTGCCTTATGGACTAATGTGCTAATTTTACCCCAAAAATAACTTTAAGAGCTAATTTAAACCGTTGAATCAGTCGGGCTTGAGCAAATAATGTAGTTTTTTTTTACCTTAATATCAGATTTCGAGAAAGAGAACATTGGCATGATGACCCTGACATGACACTGAATTAATCTAAAAAATTCTGTGGACCAGCCCAGGCAACGGTTAGTTTGATGTATATCATCATGAGATTTGTCATAGTGTCAACTCCAAGTTCCACAAAATGCCTTTATTGCCTCTCCCTGTATGCAGCATAGCAAAGAAAAGACTTTTTGGATATGTTGCAGTCCGTCATCATTCGTACAAAATTCGAACAGGAGTCATTTCAGTGGACGCAGGGTGTTTTATTGCATGCGGGTTGCTGTCTTCTCCCTCTTGTTTGCATGCTCGCTGGGTTTAAATTGCACTTCTAGCACTTCCTTTGGGAAGGTGGATCAGGCAATTTCCTGTTAAAAAAAAAAAAAACACCTAGCGGGGGTGGGTTGCTTTATAATCTTTAAAAGCCAACCCTTGGGTTCACTAAAAACATCTGATGAATACAGAGTAGCTTGGGGAGGTGCGTACACGTAAATGTGTGTGTGTGTGTGTATGTGTGTGTGTGTGTGTGTGTGTGTGTGTGTGTGTGTGTGTGTCCACTCTCATGGCCTCTGGCGGCTTGTGTTAGTGCTGATACCAACTTCAACTGCAACTTCACCTCTGTCAAGGTCATGGACATGAATTGAGTGGTTTAAGGTTAGATTTAAGCCCCCCTCACATTTTGATTGCATTGAACTTGTGCCTACTTTTACTTTCATCGTTGGGTTTTACCAGTTTAAAAGTCAGTTTTCTCTCACATACTTCTTATCTGTGTTGTACGATCACCAGGCACAACACATCCAGAGTTTAAAACAAACACAAAAAAAAGAATCACTTCAAAAGATGCAGAAATTGCCAGCCAGCCATTTTCTATGCATCCTGTCCTGATGAGGGTTGCGGTTGAGTTGGAGCACGTTCCAGATGACTTTGGGCGAGACGTGAGGATTATGAATGAATGAATTCTCTCCAGTGTGTATCAATTGTGCTTTGAAGGTATCAGGCAAAATGGAGGGCTGCAATCCAGCTGTGGTACTGTTGATTCACTCTCAGCTGGTTTGTGGTTTAAGGACACACAGCATTAAATCTGTGATAGTAGATGTGACATATATATATATAAGAACTCTGTCTGCCATTAGTCCGAGGAGTTCAGAACATTCACAGGGAGATTTGGCCATTCCATTCCAATATAATTCACTCATGAATGACAGGGAGTCAAATGCTCATCCCTCAGGATCAATGCAATACAAACCAATTCCCGTCTTTCTTCAAAACCAATTGGCATCACCGCTCGTTAACTTGTTCAGCAGCTCATCAACTTTTAGTTCATCAGAGAAGTTGTATTTTCTGTGTTAGTTTCGCTACCTTTTCAAGCCATTCCATGACAAGTATCTCTTGCTGTGTGATCCACACCTTTTTTTTTCGTCTTCAAAAAGCCCTTCTGCCATCAGTGCATGGCACTAATGTGGAAGCTTTCAACAGCATAGCGTAAATCACATTCTAATACCACATCAACTTGCCATACGGATTCGGATGAGAGTTTATGTCGGTATTTACCTCTCTGAATTGACTCGATGGCGGTATTTGTGGGGGTGTGCGTCGTGGCTGTCCTTATCAGCCCTCTGGTGTTTACGTGCCCACTTCCCTGTCTTCCAGGCGGAGATTGTCAAGCGGCTGAACGCAATCTGCGCCCAAGTCGTCCCCTTCCTTTCTCAAGAGGTATGGAGAAAAAAAAATGGCTGTCACTCTTAGTTAAGGAAGAGGCAGAGTGGGGGGGGGGGGGGGGAGAGCAAAGCGAGATGTGTTGCGTGTGCTGGATTGCGAGATGCCGCAGACAGGCATGGGCGCACATGCACGCTCACATGGTCACCGCGCACACGCACGCTAACAGATTATCCTGGCTTTATTCCCCCCCTCCCTGCTCAGGGGAGGCAGATATGCTTGAACCTATTAAATGTCTCCCACTAACATATGCGGGAAAGTCAGTGTGTGTGTGTTGCAAATGTGTACAGTGTTTTATTAGCAAATTGTTTACTATGGAATTCTTCTCTGTACGCGTGCGTTGAGCAGATAAAGTCCTCCTCTGGAGGAGTCGGAAGTGCTTGCGTGTGTACGTGTGTTTTCGTAGGAGGGGTGGGAACAGCGGTAAGGAGCGAGTGTGTACTCCACAACTCTCCTCCAGATTAGCCCTGGATTAGGAGGGTTTAAAGTGGATTAGAAATAATGGCATTAGACAGCAGAGCTGCTGCTCGCCGCGCAGCCCGCGAGGCCCGCAGAGGATGGAGGCAGCGAGAGGAAAGAGGCTTTTACCGTTTTGTTTGGATTCACCGCTACACTCGGCGGTTGTGAATGTGAAATGCAACGGCAATCATATTAACGCGGCGTAGCCACACTCTATGCGCTGTGTGAAGGTGTTTAAGGGGCATCGTCTATGTTATGAGATTGTCCTTTCATTCTTTTGGGAGGGTTACATTGTGTCGACTTAATTTTCGATCTCGCCTCGCTTTTGTTGGAGTAGAATTGTACATGCACACTCAGTCGTCAAAAATACGATCAGTATAATCGATGCTATGCTAAATTGCCGAGCAAATGCTAACAGCGCATTATTATGATTATTATTATTATTAATAGCGCAAGTGCTTTTTTGGGTAAACATCGACATAAGCAGTGATGTTTGGATGCTTTACGATCGACATAATGACATTAGTTCCTACCCGGCTCTTTGCCGGTGCAAAACCAAAAACGTTCTTCGTAAGAACTTGTTAAGCACCAACTAAGCACAGCACTGGCCCTTTTTTTTTTTTTGCTGGAAAAGGGGTATAATTGGGCCTTTAGGACTAGAGTCATATGTTCTGATCTCTTTGTTGTGGTCCGAACCCGAGCTGCAACATTCGGAATGAGCTGCAGCTGTTTGATCCTCTTTTGACGGAGTCCAACAAGAAGACCGTTACAATAGCCCAGTCGACTGGCGATAAAGGCAAAGACAAACCCACGCAAGCTAATGAGATCCGATGCAAGTGTCGTAGAACACATTTTTTTGCCTCTGCGATTTAATTCAAACACACACACATTTACCTAAACCACCAATGTGTTATTATTTACTCCACTTTAACCTGCAACCACAATAATAAACACATATTGTTTCATCCAATTAGCTCTTCAGTGAGTCTAGAAAAGTGCCGAGGACCAAAATTTACCATGGATTTTCAAGGCGGCTCGCCATTCCAGGTTCCTCCCCCGCCCAACAAAGCAGTCATGTGTTGTCCATCAGGGATCATGTTGTGAAAACGGTTCCAAAAGTGAACAAACAAGGCAATTATCCGTCTGTGGTCTGAACTATCATGAATAGTGGCTTAAGACGTTGTTTGCTGCAGGGTGAAGGTTGTGCGGCGTCGAGGCAGGATATACGCTGCAGCTACTTGAGCCCTGCAAACTTTGTTCATTTTCACCCCTGATAGGCTCTTTCATCTCTGGCCTACTTTCCTGTGATGGTCCTGGATGAATCGCTGGATTCATGCTTCTCTATTTCATTACTCTTTGGGTGACTTTGCAAGAGTTTATTTCATGTTTCTCCATGTCGTTACCTGTTTTTTTTTTTTTTCACGGCTATGGCGAAGGATGATGAATGTATTGAAAAATCTTAATAGACAGACATTAATGGGTGAAGATGCGAACTAATATATTACCCTATATCGCATCTAACACGCCTCAGACTTATTCTATTTTATTTCTTTTTTATCAAGGTCATACATTAATCCACCGATTGACGATATTCTGTTCGATGCTACTGTGTGCATAATTGGAAAGTATAATTTGGTCTTTGACAGAGTCCCGGGAGGGGGCGAGTCATATTCCTATTGTATGACAAGATGGTCAAAAAGTCTCCTTTGTCTCTCCTTTTTTTTCCTTTCTTTTTTTTTTTTTTTTGTTCAAAGATCTCCCAATTTTCCCAATCCAGATGTGTCTGATATGTCCTGATGTCAACCGCTAACTGCAAATTTTATCTCAGCATCAGCAGCAGGTGGTTCAAGCGGTGGAGAGAGCCAAGCAGGTCACCATGGCTGAACTCAATGCGATCATTGGAGTAAGTGTTCATCTTGCCTCTGCACGTGCGCACACACACACACACACACACACACACACACACACACACACACACACACACACACACACACTGATGTTAATTTTAAAATATTTTTACTCTAGATATTAAATGTGAAATTATCATAATTTGATTAAACATCATAATTGATGTCCATCTTTAAGGCACGTGTCTTGTGACACTTTGTCCTGACTAATAAGACAATTTATTGCACTCGTAGAATGAAGCGGACGCACTATTAGAATGACTTTGTCCTACTAGCTGAATTTCAAGAATGCGGAATACATTTGAATTCATTCAAGATGAACGGCTGTCTTCCAGCTCATGTTTATTCTAAGATTGCCTTCCACAACTGGATGACATTTCATAGTCATTCATTTCCTAGTTATTCAAGAGTGTAGTATTAGTACATGGACCTGGATGTCAAGGATATGGAATCCAACGGCTTTCCATTCGCCCGTGTGTGTGTGCGTGCGTGCGCATCAGCAGCAGCAGCTCCAAGCTCAGCACCTCTCCCACGGCCACGCCATCCCCATACCGCTCACACCGCACCCGGCAGGCCTTCATCCCCCCCTGCCCCCCGGCGCTGGTACTGCCAGCCTGCTGGCGCTCTCCTCGGCCCTCGGCCATCAGCTGCCTCTCAAAGACGAGAGGAAACACCAGGACGCCGCCGAAGAACACCCGAGAGGTACGGTCCCAGAACGTTTCATCATCCGAGCAAAACGATTCTGGTTTGAACTGGATCTGTAAAAGTAGAAGAAGAAAAAAATTCTTAAACTGTTTTGCGATGATAGCTGTTGAATCTTCATGAGCGGCTGTTCTCCAAAAGGCACACGTTGTAGCGCTGCTTTCTGTTGCATGAGATAATCTTCCTGAAACAGCGTCAATCACACAAACCCCCGTCAATTAACTGTATTCATCTGTGCGTTTCGCAGTACGTTGACATGATGACTTTGCGCGAGGCTCATCCTGAATTGTTTTGTTTCTCTCTTTCTTGCCGTCGACCTCATCAGAGAGAGACTCCGTGAAGGTAAGTCCTTCATCCGTCCCTCACCAGCTGAACACTCGCTCTCTATTCTTTGCAGTGTGACTTTTTTTACATGGCTTTCCACCAAGTCAATCAAAGCATCGTAGAGATAGAAGGCTAGCCGGATGAATGGATTACTTGATTGATTTCTGTTAATTGAAGCACTCTTTTACTCACTATAATTCTTTGCACTTCATCGTATTCCTCGAAAGGACCGAATATTTTGAATGGGACTTTTTTTTCTGGCCACTGGATGTTTGTTTCACATATTTATTTCTATTCATTTGATTGTGTAATCAATACAAAATTTATATTTTGTGAACTAATGGAACAAATATCATAGCAAATGGCTCCTAATTTAATGCAATTAGAAAATAAAATGTTATATTAGGATATATAGATCTTACTTGAAAATGATCAGTCATTGGTGAGTCCCCGTAGGATTCCGTGATTTCGGAATTTGCCGCCGTTTTCAAAGCTCTCAGCGGAATTGAAGGCAGTGCGCGGAAATAAGGGCGAGGTGCAGAAAATTACATTTACATGTCGTTTTCATCCCCCGCGGTCAGACCGGCTACGTTCACGCTGCGGGGCGCAATGGCCAATTCTTTTATTTTTTATTTTTTTAGTCCTTTACCCGAAGGCGATGTGACGCGCATGTGCACAAATGCACGACGTCGAGTGACCGTAAAGCACTTGGAGAATACTGATGATTATTATTTTATGACCACAATGTTCTGCAGTGTTTTAGTTTTGCAAATAATTTCCTAGAACAATTCTTACTTCATTAGTACATTAATTTGCTTTATAACTGCTCATTTTGGGTCTTGTTTTTTTTAATGCCCGCGGAATTAATTAGGATTGTTCTCTGCGGTGTCAACACTTTTTCTCTGCAGATTCCTGGGGGGACTAATTGTTTTAATCAAAATTTTAGATATCAAAATTACTATATCCAAATTACGAGTGGTATCCGTGAATACTCAAGAGTACCAGTCTCAATATGAAAAGACTGGTATCGAGCATCCCTAATTTGTATACAAGCAATTCAAGTGGATTTTCTCAAATATGTCCCTTCTAAAATGGATCAGTGCCGAGTGTTATTAGGATGCGATGTGCCTGTTCTCTGATCGGTTTTAAAACGACTCTAAGGTTTTGGCCTTGGGTGTGTTTGAAGAGTCAGAGATGTGCAAATGGAGACAAAAAAAGAGCAGCGTGGTTAGTGAAGGGAGAAAGCGCCAAAGACTAACGTTACAGCTTGTCGTAATTAGTCCCTTAAGCTCAGCCTTTTCCCAAGGCAAACGTTTGGTTTGTTGAATACTCAATGAGCAGATTAGCATTTCTTTATTCCAGCCGCCTGAGCTCAACCGGCAAGCACACACACGCGCGCGAGCGGGCGCACGCACACACTTTTGAGGCGGGTGTTTGGGAGTTGGTAGCGACTAGAGGAATGCTTAATACGTTGTCTCCTGCCCCCCCATGTCGTCTATCCTCCTCCACACACACTCACAGCTGTAGGCACTGTGATGGAAACGATTAGCAGCGTACAAATGTGTGTGTGTGTGTGTGTGTGTGTGTGTGTGTGTGTGTGTGTGTGTGTGTGTGTGTGTGAGAGGTCTTCTGGAATCGGTAGCAAAACTAGGAAGACCAAAATGATGAATGCCTTTCATTAGTGCCCTGTGGGAGATCGAACACAAACACGCTTGCGCACACACGCACACACACACACACACACACACACACACTTAGAGATGCTCTTTGACATGGCGGCCAACAGTCACTTCATGAAACCAATAAGCCCCTTGTCAGCGGTCTCCAGTTGCCTTGGCAACAGTCCATTGGGTACAGTGTATGTGAAATGCGTGAGCCTCTGTGGCTTCATGTCCTTGGTGTTCGCACCTCGTACACCGATAACACTGACGTGGGTGTGAACGGCACATTGCACGCCATGTTGGCCATACAGTATTGTTCCCGCGATGCTTCTGAGAAATTCAGAGGCCATTTTTTTCCTGCTCATCGCAACTCCTGTCTAACTGCGTGCACGGGTGGAATTTTCTTACTTGGTATTTTTCCTTGACGGGGGTGTTTGCGCCGTTGTGGGAAGGAACGCCGCTGACTTGTTTGTCATCCAATGGAAGCGGATCCCCTCATTCACTTGTTCAGGATTGCTTTGGTTCAGGCCTGATTAGGTTTTAGCGAAGAAACCCGTGCTAAAGAAACAATGAATGGCCTTCATTGTAATAGTCACAGTGTTTCAATGAGTGATCTTAAAAATGAGCCCAAAATTAGATGGAAATGCGTTTTTTTCTGCATTTGTTGCCTCGATAATTACCCAGCCAAGTTGTGTGCGTCCATTTTTCTCTTCGTGTTCTGCTATTAGGCCCTTTCTGCCTCTGTCCATTTTGCTATTTCTCTGCACTTTCTCGATAATATTGCTTTAATTTTGTATTAAGCTACAGTTTGACTCGACGTATATGCTACTATACATTATTATAATATAGATGATGGTAAATAGCATGATTCATTTGCGGAGCACTGAACTGTAACAGTGTTACAAGCACACACGCACAAATCCGCCCAACCTTGCTCCTCCCTCGCAGGCTCCTTGTCATCAACACCTGCATCACAGCAAAGGGCAGCAGAAAGGTTACAAGCGTGAGTTAGTGGAAAGGTCAAGTTAAAGGTCCTGCTTTATTTTTCCTCTCTGTGTTAGTTGGTGAGAAGAGCCGGCGAGAGATGCCGATTGAGAAGGCCCGCTTGATCGTTAGGGATGAGTGACGGGAGAAGCGTCCAATTAATGTTTATACACTCTCCGGCACAACTATCCAAGACCACATATGGTGTGTGAAAATGTGAGACATGCATCCGAGACTAGCGGTCCACAACCACTGGTCCATTGCCTGGTACCGGACTGAAGTCCATTTTACCGGGCCGCATTTCGGCACTCACTTTCAACGTGTGTTCAGTATGAAGTTGTTCTTTCTTCCAGAGCTCATCTGTGTCTCCGTCCGCCAATTTTCGGACCGGAGAGAAGCACCGCAGTTCCGCCGATTACTCCGCCGACAGCAAGAAGCAGAAGACAGACGATAAAGAGTTGAGCTCCACACGCTATGTAGGTTTTTATTCCACCTTTGACGTGAATATAGTCATTTTCTGCTACAAGGGCCAAATTCCATGAAACAATGCGTCGTTTTCTCCACAATCGGAAGCGCAAAAGTTGATACGTTTCTTTGTGAATGAAAATCGACTAGGAGAGCGATGGTGAGAAGAGTGACGACAACTTGGTCGTGGATGTGTCCAACGAGGTCCGTATGGCGGCCGTAACGTCTTGTGAGCTTCTCGATCAGCAAAATGAATCCGCTTTCCCAACCGCCACCCCAGGATCCAGCTTCTCCCAGAGGAAGTCCCGCCCACTCTCCTCGGGAGAACGGATTGGACAAGAGCCGCCTGCCGAAGAAGGATGCGCCACTGAGTCCCTCTTCTGTCGCCTCTTCCAGCAGTACCCCTTCATCCAAATCCAAAGAGATTAATTTAGTGAGTCGTCTGATCTTCTTCGTACCATTTCACTTGGTAGTTTCTATTTTTAGGGATAAAATGTTTATGAGGGGAAGCGTCATAGATGAAAACTTAGCTGTGTCATTTTTCTACTATTATTAGTTATTGGTTATATATTCGCCCAAATTAATTGTTGCCTTTTTTTTTTCTGGAGAAGAATGAAAAGTCCACCACACCAGTTTCCAAGTCCAGCACACCCACATCTCGGTGTGACGCGCCCACTCCCAGCAGCACCACCACCACCAGCCTGAGGGCAGCTCCGAGTAAGCCAACAGGAGTCGAGACGCTCGGTAAGTGTCGTGCGATTTGGAGCAGGATACACACAAGCCAATTTTTATTTTTTTGAACCATTTTGAAAAATAAGCTCAATGCGATGATATTTGCACGCTATTGCGATGTGATTTACAGGTAATGTGCCATTATTTTTTTCACTTTGCATGTTCTCCCCGTGCCTGCGTGTGTGGGTTTTCTCCGGGTTCTCCAGTTTCCTGAAGGTTTTGGTTTTATAGGTTCGGCTCACACCAAAATAAAGGCGAATGAATATGAAAGACAGTTTATCTATTTCAATTAGACTTTGGGTTTTCTCCGGGTTCTCCGGTTTCCTCCCACATTCCAAAAACATGCATGACAGGCTGATTAAACAGTCCAAATTGTCCCTAGGCGTGAATGAATATGAAAGACAGTTTATCTATTTCAATTAGACTTGTATTACAGTCTTTGACTTGCATAAGCATTCACTTCGACGACTTCAATTCTACAAGTGTGGCGTCGACATAAGTCTGTCGCGAAGTCTTCAGTCAGAATTCAAGAATAATACAAACAAATGGCATTAAAAATGTTTCTCCTTTTCTTCGCTCTTCCCATCCAGCTGATAAAAGAAGTTTGGATTGCCTTCTCGTTGCAGCACCCGGCCTGCGCACACCGATGGCGGTGCCATGCTCGTACCCCGGCCCGTTCGGGATGGTCCCTCACCTCGGCATGAACGGCGAGCTGAGCGGAGCGGGCGCCCCCTACGCCGGCCTGCATAGCATGAGCACTGTGGCCGCAGCCGCCGTGGCCGCCTACGGACGCACACAAGTGGTACGCAAAACGCATGCATGTTGTATAACGACAGTAGCAAATATATTTTCCCGGAGTTGTTCTCATTTCCCACGAGTCTAAATTCTCCCAAAGGCTTGTTTGTCTATATGTGCCCTATGATTGACTGGCGTCCGGTCAAGCGTGTACCCGGTTCCTTGGCCCATGTCAGTCGCTCACCCTTATGACAAGCGCTACAGAACATGAATGCAAAAGCGATTGATAACCGTCTCAAGACTTTGGTCTGCAGTGAATGTGGCCTCTGTTCTCTCTTAATTCAAAGTTCATCTTTTGTAGGTGGGTTTTGATCCTCACCATCACATACGAGTCCCCGGCCTTCCTCCAAACCTATCAGGAATCTCTGGTGGAAAACCGTAGGTCTCCTTCTTCGTTTCAAAAATATATACAGGATACGGTATCTGCCCATCTGTCTCTCTGTCTGTTTGGAGAACATGAATGCAAAAGCGACTGATAAACGTCTCAAAGTGAATGTGGCCTCTGTTCTCTCTTCATTCAAAGTTCATCTTTTGTAGGTGGGTTTTGATCCTCACCATCACATACGAGTCCCCGGCCTTCCTCCAAACCTATCAGGAATCTCTGGTGGAAAACCGTAGGTCTCCTTCTTCGTTTCAAAAATATATACAGGATACGGTATCTGCCCATCTGTCTCTCTGTCTGTTTGTTTGTGCGTGTGCTTCGTGCGGATGAGCGTCACATCACAGATGTGTTCCGTTCACATTAGAAGTCACATTTGTTTTTGCAGTGTGAACGAGTACAGATTGGATATAACAAACAAACAAACAAAACTAAAAAAATTTGAATCGAGCAGCACGCACTGCAGTGTGAACGTAACCTTGGATCCCGCCCACCTGACCGCAATATCTACCTGCCGAGATAAAAACGACATGTAAATGTAACATTCTGCGCTTCGCCGATTTCCTGGAGGGGACTAATTAATCTCTGAACCACAAGCAACAAAAGCGAGTAGTCCAACTCCAAATTGTGCCGTGCTTAGTGCGGATGAGCGTCACATCACAGATGTGTTGCGTTCACATTAGAAGTCACATTTGTTTTTTGAAGTGTGAACGAGTACAGATTGGATTTAACAAACAAACAAACAAAACAAAAAAAATTTGAATTGAGCAAGCACGCACTGCAGTGTGAACGTAACCTTGGATCCCGCCCACCTGACCGCAATATCTACCTGCCGAGATGAAAACGACATGTAAATGTAATATTCTGCGCTTCGCCGATTTCCTGGAGGCGACTAATTAATCTCTGAACCACGAGCAACAAAAGCGAGTAGTCCAACTCCAAATTGTGCCCAATATTTTGTGTGGCCACCTTTATTTTGGAGCATTGCCTCAATCTTCTTGGCCATGAAGATTATTAGGGCTTCATCAGTTGCCACTGGAATCCTCTTCCACTCCTTCCTCTCACGGAGCTCGTGAATGTCAGAGACACATGACCAAGGAAGCAAAATGCCCTCATTTTTGTTGTCAGTCATTTATACCATACATTAATGGCTGTGTTATTTTGAGGGAGCAGTAAATTTACAGTCTTACAAGCATGCAAAGTGTGTTCTCACTTTTTTTGTATGTATTTCTTTGCTCCAGAGCCTATTCCTTTCACGTGAGCGCTGACGGACAAATGCAGCCAGTACCTTTCCCTCCGGACGCTCTGATCGGCCCGGCCATCCCGCGTCACGCCCGACAGATCAACACACTTAACCACGGGGAGGTGGTGTGTGCTGTCACCATCAGCAACCCGACCCGTCATGTTTACACCGCAACAAGCGTGCAAAGTGTGTTCTCACTTTTTTTTGTATGTATTTCTTTGCTCCAGAGCCTACTCCTTTCACGTGAGCGCTGACGGACAAATGCAGCCAGTACCTTTCCCTCCGGACGCTCTGATCGGTCCGGCCATCCCACGTCACGCCCGACAGATCAACACACTTAACCACGGGGAGGTGGTGTGTGCTGTCACCATCAGCAACCCGACCCGTCATGTTTACACCGGCGGCAAGGGTTGCGTCAAGGTGTGGGACATCAGTCACCCCGGCAACAAGACCTCCGTGTCACAGCTGGACTGCCTTGTGAGTCACTTCAACGGCGCCCCGATTCACGACAGAGAACGGGCTCCTAAATGGGCAAGATTAGAATGAAACGTGTGTGCCATCAGAACAGAGACAACTACATCCGCTCCTGTCGACTGCTCCCCGATGGACGGACGCTCATTGTGGGGGGTGAGGCGAGCACTCTGTCAATCTGGGACTTGGCCACGCCGACGCCGAGGATCAAGGCGGAATTAACGTCATCGGCGCCTGCGTGCTACGCCTTGGCCATCAGCCCCGACTCCAAAGTCTGCTTTTCCTGCTGCTCGGACGGAAACATCGCCGTCTGGGACCTTCACAACCAGACTCTGGTTAGGTAGGCTCACAGAGGTGTTATAAATGATCCAAAATGTATTGTCATTTTCTTTATTTGAACTCAGACTTGTACGTAGGCATGTAATAAATACCTAAATTTCATTGGGAGAAAAAAAACAGCATGGCCAAAGTGTGGGCACATGTTTTCTTGGTGTGAGTCAGCAATACTGAACTTAAAAATCAAACATTTTGGAACTTGTGTTTTTCCAAAGAAAACACTGTCCCTCAAGGGCCGGATTTTGATGTCAAACCAGTATCCCGCCCTCCCATTTTGAAAGCAGAACGCTCTTTTCTATAATTGGCTTATATGCGTACCCCGCAGACAGTTCCAGGGCCACACCGATGGAGCAAGCTGCATAGACATCTCGAATGATGGCACCAAGCTTTGGACGGGAGGCCTGGATAACACCGTCCGCTCGTGGGATCTCCGAGAAGGCCGTCAACTGCAGCAGCATGACTTCACCTCGCAGGTAAACTCAGTGTGACTCGTACAGGCGGGGCAGAGCACAAAGAAAGGCAGTGAAATCCCAAATCGCAGGCGTTAGTTTAAGATAAGAAAACTTTGATTTGTCTCACAATGGAGAAATTCCTAATTTACAGCAGCAAAATTATGAAACGACAGCACACCTGAAAAACTGCTCTGGGACAGGCCAGCACCAGTTGTGCTCCGAAATGAGTAATCCAGAGTTAAAAGGACTTTTTTTTGTCAGTGCTATGGCTCCTTCTGGTAACTGTTATCCGAGTCAGACCTTATATTGTTCCGAAACTTCACAATGGCATTAAATCTGTGTTTCTGGAATCCCCAAAAACGTTTACGCGATCGAAAAGCATCTGTTTTCCCCGTCGGTGCACATTTTGTTTCCTTGTTTCAGTAACGCGGCCATCATGGCGCACGGCGGTGCCGCGTCGCTCCCGCATTTCAAATGTGCGATTTAACAACGCAAAAATCAGCCGTCTCAATTGTTCTCAGATTTGCGAAATCTCACACCTTGCGCTTGCAGATCTTCTCACTGGGATACTGTCCAACTGGCGAGTGGCTGGCCGTCGGGATGGAGAACAGCAACGTGGAGGTCCTGCACGTCTCCAAACCTGACAAGTATCAGCTCCACCTCCACGAAAGCTGCGTGCTCTCGCTCCGATTTGCTCACTGTGGTGAGTCAATGTGGTCTTGATGCGTTTGTTTGGACAAAAGAGGTCCTTGCCGAGCTGAAGTAGACCTTATCACTCATCGGCTCTTCCGCTCTGCTCTCACTTGCAGGAAAGTGGTTCGTCAGCACGGGAAAAGACAATTTGCTCAATGCCTGGAGAACCCCGTATGGAGCCAGCATATTCCAGGTAAGTCCAGGAACATACAGTATATGGCCGGTATCCATCAGTTGCAGTTACTTTGAGTCTAAGAGGAAGAAAGAGAAAGAGAGAGAGAAGCAGGGATCTACAAAAAAAGTAATGGGAGTGAAAACAAAACCGGAACATGAAATGGTAGTTTTGAGACATCTACAGGACTTTGACATTCTGTATTTCCTTCCCCACCAACAGTCCAAGGAGTCGTCTTCGGTGTTGAGTTGCGACATCTCCGTAGATGACAAGTACATTGTGACCGGCTCCGGAGACAAGAAGGCCACTGTCTATGAGGTCATATACTAGAGCAAGCCCGGGGGGGGGGTCATCCTCCCACCCAGGCACCATTCAACGAGGCCAACCCCGTGTACCATATGTAATGTGTATAATAGGGATTTTACGTTGTTCTTGGAATTTTTTAAGGCTGTTCAGAAATTGAACGAAGCACAGATTCTTTTTTTTTTTGAATGAGTGAATGTAATGAATGTCCATGCACACTGAGCAAACTGTCTGTTATTAAGTCATTATCCACACATTTCTTGACCCCCCGCCAAAAAAAAAAAAAAAAAAAATCCAACACTTTTTTGAGTGTTTGCGTAGATGTGCGGCACAAACACGAGCTTATTTATTGTTTCCTTTCAGTATTTTACTTATTCCTGTGTGTGGTTGGATGCTTGAAAGAGGGCTGTGTTGCACTTAACATTTGACACTGGATTTGGCCGTCAAAATTACCTGTGGATTAATAAGGCATTGAGATGCTTCCTCACATTTACCAGAAAATGCATGTTTGGTTCAATTGAAGACCCTAAATCATCCAATGGTATGAATGGGTGTGAAAATGCCTGTTTGTCTGTCATGTATGTCCAGGGTCCGACATTAACGGTGGCCCAGTGACCCTGGCCTTATACAACACCGCCACGTACTTACCTCAGTGTCTTCCATCAAGAGGAATGACGCAGAATATACGCCCCCCCCCCAAAAAAAAATCACAAAATATAATATCCCTTCCGCTCGTGAGTATTTGTGTGTGTAATAACAAGATTGCCCTCAGTGCCCTCACTACGTTGCGTGTAGGGGAAAAAAAACCACACTGTGCCTTTACACCTCTCTGTCCAACCGCGGTTACTGAATATTACTGTTGCAGAAGATGAATTATAAAACCTGCATTTTTGCCTTGTTTTTTTTTTGGGGGGGGGGGTCATTTTCCCCCCGTGTTAAAGTCATGCCAAGTTGGCCTATCACGGTATCCCATGTATACTGACTAAACTGACGCTCAATAAATGTTTACAAATAAGAAGTTTTCCATCGATAAATAATTCACAAATCCGGCTCTTCTGCCAAAACGTGAGAAAGCCCGTTTTTCATATACACGCCGTACAGTGTGGCTTAAGCTGATCGTACGTGTATTTAAAAACTGATTTACCAAAGAAATAATATAAAGCGAATGAATCCATTCCAGGGTTACCATCATAATATATTCACAACGGGAAATGTGTAAAGTAACATTTAACATTCCGACATGTCTAGAAAGTACAAAAAAAAAAAAAAACGGCGTCAAAGTAAAATAAAGTAAAATTGCTCACCTTTTGAAGATCCCCGACCGACACGAATTTGGAAGGGAACAGGTGCAATTAAGGACTAAAAATCTTTGAAATAGAAATTGTACAACTTTTAGAAATTCCACTCCCTGCTTTTGAATCCTACTGTAGTGGTTTTTTTTTTGTTTTTTTCTCTTCTGTGAAAAAGTGCGCTTGAAGGAAAAAGTATGTTTCACTCAAATTTCAGTGTCTCAACATAACATGACCAAACACAACGATATTCTTCTGGACTAATCTCAACGCCCTTGTGATTTTGTTCATCCACATTTCCATCACTTATATCACTTAAGTATTCATGCAGACAGTTTAAATGAGTAAAGTAACATTGACAAGCAAGAATTAGTGGATCGTATGTTTGATAAAAAAAAAAACTTTTTCAGAGTTGTGTTACAGGCAGATCTGTGCTCAAGACTGGAATCGATAGTTAGCTGCCTTTATGTTCCAGGATGTTAGCTTTTTCAGAGTTGTGTTCCAGGCAGATCTGTGCTCAAGACTGGAATCGATTCGATAGTTAGCTGCCTTTATGTTCCAGGATGTTAGCATTCTGTTATAGTTCAGAGTGCTTCAGTAATTCATGCATTTTGTTCTTGATTGTTTTTTCTTCCTGCTGTGTAAATATACTGTAACTCTCTCTCTCTCTCTCTCTCTCTCCCTCACGCTCGCCCTGATTCTTTCCCTCCCCTCCCCCCCCCTCCTTGTTTTTTTTTTTTTTTGATCAAGAAACAACAACAACAAAAAGTTCACGCAAACACAAGCTGATCCGGAACGATTACATCCAGTGATGATGCATGAAACATTCAGCTTGGAAGAAGTTTGATAGGATTGTTCAAGAACAGTAAACATGTAATTATTTAAATGGAAAAAAGAAAGCATCCTGCCGCTAACAGCTATGTTTCTTCTACTGTATATGAATGGCCCTTTTTTTTTCCTTTTTTTTTTTAAATGAAGTCTGTAGTTCATTAAATTATTGTGTGGATTTTTTTTGTGTAAGATGTGTTCATTGTTCTATAGTCCCATAAATAATCAAGAGTAAAATATTTCAGTGAAATACAATGGAAACATTTAAATATACCAAATTATTCATTTAAAATAATTAAAAGTAAATTAAAAATTTCCACTGAAGAGGGACAAAACTATTGGGAACTGACCTACCGCCTGCAATGGTTTGTGCCCCCGGTGTGTGCGTGTATATTGGCGCAAAAAATAATAAATAAAACAAAATAGCGGCGCTTTGGATGGTGGTGTTGAAATACTCCACACGTTGGTTGGAGAGGATGATCCAAGTGAGCGCTGTGGAGGAGGCGGATGATGATGATGCCACCATTACAGTGAATGATCCTCCTGTTTGCGCTCTCCAGCAGCAGGCCCTTCACAGGAGACCGAAAGGTGCTGCCGTCATGTGGAACGAGCCACCCCACTTTGCTGTGTTATATTAGGAGCTCTTTCGGGCGGCAAATTGCTCACTTTGCAGGCAAAAAAAAAAAAAAAATAGAAGGGGGATTAAACAAACGGACGGTGGATTATTCCAAGATGGTCAAAGTGTTGAAAATGAAACATGCAGCAGATGGCGCTGTGTTGAAAAACAAAACAAAGCAAAAAAACAGCGGATTACTTTTTACAAATGAGTGATTCATTTGTGAAATGAAGGTAATTTTGAAGCCATGTGTAAGTTTGGCTTCTCCGTTCCTGTCAGGACTCCCTGTCTTTTTCCTGAAGTGTTGTGCCATGTCAACAGACATCCCATTGAAATGTACTTGGGAGTACTTTTACTGTCAAGCTACGCACTGACACCTTTCGACGATTTCTACCTTACTTTTATGTCACCGCTGTTAATTAATTTGAACTGAAAAAAAGTTGAGAGCATCGCAACCTGCAGTTGTCAAGTAATAATGAAGATACAATGAAAAAAAAAAACAAATTATAACTAAAATGCCATAATTCCTTGATAACCTCCCGTTTCAATGTTGATCAGCAAAATTGATACACAATGTCTCCACAAGGGGGTACAAAGTCCCCATTGCCCAATAATTTGACGTTTGGAGGCCTTTCATTTTAGGATTTTTTTGTAGGCGAAATGTTGTGCTGTGCGGCCGCACATATCGCGCATACCAGAAACTGTCACTGAGTGTCGTTGTGGCTGTTTAATCACCGTCCTATCTTCACAGTGTGGGACAGCAGGGCCCCCTTCCCAAATACTGTTACCTTGGAAACAGCGTATTTCGTATGAGTATGCCAATTTGTTTGTATTTGGGCTTGGACAAATTTAAGCAACACATGCTGTGAATTTGATCGCAAGATCTTACATTTTGAAGTTTAAAAAAGAAAGGACCGTTTGTGTGTTTGAGTTTTTTTGTCTAAGTGTGCCCTGCGATTGGTTGGCAACCAGTTCAGGGTGTACCCCGCCCGCTGCCCGATGACACCTGGGCTCCAGCACGCCCCGCGACCCTTGTGAGGAGAAGCGCATCAGAAAATAGATGGATGGATGGACTGTTTCTGACATTTCTGACAAAAAAGTGGTGCGAGCAATTTAGTGCCCTGGTACAAGGCCCTCCGATGATTAATTCATGTCCATGCCGCCCCTTAACGAGGTTATGCCCCTGAGTGGGCAGGAGGGGGCCGCACTCAGCAGCGCTTTGATATCCTTCATTTAAGGCCGTGGCAGCCATTAATGACTTCTTTCAGCCGGGAAACGAGCGTCATTATCGCTTTATAAAAGCAGATGGGGGAGAAAGTTTGGGGCGGAGGCTCATTGTGTGCACGTGTGTTCTGGTTTTCAGCACTTTGTGAGGACAAAACTTTGTTTACACTGTCATGGGAATATCACAGTGTCGGGACAAACAAAAACCAGGCAGATGACTAAAGAGTTACTTGAGTGGGCAGGCGCAAACTATTTGTATGAGGAATGTTCGATACCAGTAGAAGTATACGCGCTCTTTCAGTACTCATCGATAGCTTCAGTACTTTTGATTTAGAACATTTCATCGAACACAATGACAAAAACAATTTTAAACAAAATATTTCATCTAATACAGATGATGATTTGCCGATGTGTCAAACTTTTTTTGCCTCTAGTATCAGTGGCCGGCATCGTCAGCGTCCACGACTACCTGATACCTGAAAATAAGGTCAATATTCGGCCCAGTGCCGATACCTCTATCATAAATCGCATATTTGTACAAAAGCAATTCAGAAGTACTGTAACATCTTCATAATATGTCTCGTAAAGATATAATGATGACCGCTGTACAACTAAATAAGAAATGATTGTTTTGTAACTTGTTTCGGTAAACGATGCTTACTTGTAGAGCACTTTTCTGTGCGTTTTTCAATGTCACTTCATTCACATAGTCATACAATGGTTAATGGAATCATTATTCACGATTTCATTGTGTTTAGAGGATGTGCTGTTTTGTGATTTGTAGTGTTTCAGTAGTGTGGCCATTAATGCACTGAAGCTGCGTCTCAGTATTCCAAATATATTCCTCTACACATGCTTCATTTAAAAAAAAAAGGAAATTCATGTAACTGAGAATTTCACATCAATTGTTAAACATTTCCAAAGCATTCATTTCATGTTCTATTGTATGAAGCACTCTCCAGCTCTTTACTCCAGCTGGCAGCTTTTCATGTCTTAACTGTAGATCCATTCTGTCACTCCACCGCTGCGGTTGGCGAGGAGGCAGTCAGAGGTCACCGCAAAGTAGAACGAGCCGGACGGGCGAGAGTGGAGGATCGTGCGTTTCCTAAGAAAACAGGAGCAGCCCGTTGGAGTGGAGGTCACGGGTGCGCCGGCCGAGCGTTGGAGGAGGAATGAACTGAACTAAAAGCTCTCGTTTGGAATGCTCTTCAGCACCACTCTGACAAATGGACGGTGCCTCTCCACGCAGCGCTTGGGTCAGAAAGGATGCTTTTTACAGCTTTTAAGCCGACGCTGATTTCCATTTAAAAACCTCTTTAGTTCACATTTCTAAATGAGAAACAGCACGTGCGTTTAAGTGTTACAGGTTGCCTGGAATTTTCTTACAAAGGACTCCTTTTGTTTGAATCCACAAGTGGGTATTAATCGTGAGCCATGGACGCTAAGTTCGATTCAAACAATTTAGTATGCTTCATTTACATCAACCATCGTATTGTCATTATCTCTGACCATAATGATGACAAGCGTTACAGAAAACGGATGGAAGGCTGAGTTGAAAGGCCCTGCATGTTAGTTTTGACCACTCCCATTTATTTTTCATTGATGGTTTTCCACTTTCATAATGGTTTTTGGTCATACACAATGGACCCAGCGGTGTGCTTTATAGCATTTATGGCAGTTATTTTTTTGAAGGTTGTGAAACGCACTTTAAAATAATACAAACACATTTAAAAACATAATGTATTAAAAGAGAGCAAGAGCATTGAATAAGACAAAAATATTGCACAAGCGGTGTAACAGTATACTGATCTCTTTGTGTTTACAGCAAACCCGGGATCACCAATATGCTGCCCGCAAGGACCACGTGACCAGCCAGAGAGCCTGTTCTAAAAATAGCTTAACAGTGATGGGACATTGTGATTTTCTAGGAATGTTGTCGGAGTGATAATTTGAAAATATAAAAACTGGCAGAGATTTTTCCTAATTATTATGAGAAACCCTAAACATAATCACCGTCTTTATATGAAATTAATATAATTAATTATTAATGATCACATATACAATAACATGGATGTAATACTGCTAGTAAAGTTCTTTTTTTTCAGACGTGTCTCAAATTTGTAGCGCTTTCTCTTAATCAGTTCAGAGACACTGAGTGTTTCAAGGTACTGCGTCTCCATCTGCTGGCAAAATGTAAAATTTCAAGCCTAATTTCTATTCATTACATTACAGTGAAGAAAAATGATCCCAGATATGAATAGAGTCATGTAACACATCAACTGTATTTCAAGATACCACTGTGGAGATTGATATAATTTTAACTTTCACTTTATTTTTGTATTTTAAAGCAGCGTCTGAATGCACTGCATCATACTGCCACCAGAGAGCGGTATGGATTTCCATTGGCGCTGACAGCAACCAGAAAGCAAGAGCGCTGCTAGGCTAGGCTACCAAGAAGAGGGGGAAAAAAACTTCCCATTGAGTAAAAACTTGGCCTCAGCATGCTTCTTCAGATGGTTAAGCCGCTGCTGCTCCGTTATAGGAGTCCCCTCCTGGCTTGGACGAGATGTTATCACGGTGACAAAGTCGCCCGGCTCGGCTCTCAGCCTGACAAACACTCCGCCGACTATCAGGTGAGCTACATGCTATCGTCAACTTGCTAGCGGCAACCTTGCTCATGTTATCGAGAGAAGCTGCACGTCCCAGGAAAAGGTCAAAATGTTGACTGACTCTGCAAAAGAAATCGTTTGAACCTCATATAAGTGAGAATAGTATTGGTTATCTTAAAAGTGAACATTGGCATTGACAGTGTCTTATGCTGCATTTGGAATTTGGGAGTTATGTTGTCAGTAGTTTATATTAGTATGGAATTAAAGAAACATGTTCATTTTTAGTAAAACTTGTAACTATATATAGCAAAACAATCCATTCATCCATCATCCACCAAGGTGCCCCTGACACAACTCTCTTATTTCTTTCTTTCATCTGTACTCGGCTACAACATGGGGTGTATTCCCCCAAAAATGCCAATAGTATTCACCAAGAGGAAAATTCACTTTTCACAGTGTGTGCGCAACAATTTGCATTCCTCTCTTAGTGTTTTGGTGTGTATGGACAACACTTAAAATACTTTGTGGGTGGATTTTAAAACTATTGCTATCACTGATTTTTACAATGTCTAATGTATATAAAGAGTTCATGACTTCTTATTTTGTATTCAAAGTCAATCTTTCACTGTGTGTATCTGTGATATAGTTATTTTTTATGTTTTATTCTCTGACTCTAACCATCCTCACATTAAAGGAGAATGGTTTGACTCTATTGTTTTTTTTCCCCCCTTCCGACTGTTTTCCTTTCACATCTAAAATATCGAGGTGCTTAACAACAACCCGCCATGCTTCTCGTTCTGTCTCCCCCAGGTTGGTTATTGGTGTCTTGTTTATTTTGTCTTGTTCCTCCGAATGGGTAGTAACTGGGAAGTACATTCGTTGTCTGTTTCTAATACCGATGCTGTTTGGTAATCCCAATGCAAATTTTTATACCATCCCTTAAGCAGGTTGGTGCACTTGTATCGCAGTGAGAAGTCATATGACTCAACATACAAATGTCATTTTTGTCTTCCAGGAGAATTATGAGCGGATGCAAGCCCTTGTTGATGAATTGAAAAGCCGGACGGAGAAGATTAAATTAGGTGGGTGGGAATTAGTTACAGCATTTGTAGTTGATGCTACTATGGTACGAGGGTTCTTGTAATGTCAAATGTATTTATTAGTGAGTGGTTTGCAATTATCTGCTGTTCATTTATATCACCATTCTGTCATGACGCATGTTGTGAGAGACTTGCAGTATCTTCAACTAAGAGCTTGACTGACTATTTGGAGTTTGTTGTATCACGAGAAATTACGTTGTGATCGTGATGTTCACGATGCAAAGGAATGGTCACCTCACACAAGAGCTATTCAGGTTTTATTGTGTTGTTATTGCAGGTGGTGGAGAAAAAGCCAGAAAACTTCACACTTCCCGCGGTAAACTCTTACCCAGAGAACGCATCGATAGACTCCTGGATCCAGGGTACCATCCAATATACTTACATTCTTTCTTTTGGGTCACACTCTAAAACCAAGGCACTATGTAATAGATATCAAATCTCTACATTTGTAATTTTACCCCTGATCATTTCTACTCTATGCTTAAGAAAGATGCTTAGTGTTTGCCTAATGATATCAACTGGTTGTTCTGCAGGACTCCTTTTTTAGAACTTTCCCAGTTTGCGGCGTACGAGTTGTATGGAAAAGAGGAAGTGCCAGCAGGCGGGATGATAACTGGGATTGGACGAGTGTCTGGGTAACATTTGAGCACAATCACAGTCCAACATCAAATCTTTCTTTTTCTCAGCAAACTTTTTGAAAAGGTTGTTTTTCAACAGCTATTTTATTTGAACCAATAAACAGCTGCTTTGGTCTCCCAATCAGGTTTTAGACCAAATCATACCACAGAGACTGCTCTGGTCAAAGTGACATACAGTATATTTAACCACATATCATGGTAGAACTTCACTCTTAACTTTATTCGATCTCAGGCCCGCATTCAACACAGTTAAAAAGTGGAAATCAGTTCTTCATCGGTTTTTAATATTGCTCAAATTACAGGAATTATTTGTGTCAATATTTAACTTGAAATAAGCAGACCAAAATTACATGTGGGATGCACCAAGGCTGCATTCTAGGGCCTCTCATGTTAAACATTTATATGCTTCCACTTGCTCAGATCATGGAAAACAACAAAATACAAAATTATGATATGCAGCTGGCGATCATGGCCCCATACAAACACTGGGTAAATGCAATTATAACTGAACAATTTGGTGAAATTCAAAACTTTCTTTTTACGTCTTTACTAACATCGTCGAAGTGCATCTTGGCCTATGAACGGATAAAAATACACACAAGCTTTTCTCATTTAATGTCACACAGGGGTGTCAGGTAATAAATAAATGTTCATTTTTCTTAACCAGGGTAGAATGTGTCATTGTTGCCAACGATGCCACGGTCAAAGGCGGGACGTACTACCCCATTACAGTCAAGAAGCATCTTCGTGCACAAGAAATCGCCCAGCAGAACCATTTGCCCTGCATCTACTTAGGTGAATTTTGGAATCTAATTAAAAACAGGTTCTATAAAACCTTCACTTTATTTATATATATATGTATATGTCTGCATCATCTGCTCAGTATGATGTTTTTGATCACTTCAGTGGACTCAGGAGGCGCCAATCTTCCCAGACAGGCAGACGTTTTTCCCGACAGAGATCACTTTGGACGTATTTTCTTCAACCAGGCCAGGCTGTCATCCGAGGGAATAGCGCAGGTAATACTGCAGCTCTTACCTGATGTTATTGAAAATGTTTCACTTCAAGAAAGTTGTTGTTATTTTTTTTGGGACCCGGCTTCATGAACGGCGCTTTTGAAAATGCTGTCTTTTATCTTTGTCCTCGAGATTGCCGTGGTGATGGGCTCCTGCACTGCTGGTGGAGCGTACGTCCCCGCCATGGCGGATGAAAGCATCATTGTCAGGAAACAAGGAACTATTTTCCTTGGTGGACCTCCACTGGTATTTCATGTTTTTTTTTCCAATGATAAAAATGTCACGTGTAATGATTATGATTGTCAGTTTGACTTTAATGATCTATAATTTGTTGCCAGTACTAAGTTGGTAATCTTTTTGCTTGTGTGCTCTCAGGTCAAAGCTGCTACCGGAGAGCAAGTTTCCGCTGAGGACCTCGGAGGTGCCGATCTTCACTGCAGGTTGAGAACGGCACTTTTACTTTTACTTTTTTTTGTTTTGTTTTGTTTTTGTTTTTTACGTACGTTTTTTCGTGTCACCCAGATTTTTCAGTGACCTCACACCATCATTTGTCATTACACAGCGTGTGTGAAATAGCTCTCTGATCTGTTCTGACAGGAAGTCCGGTGTGACAGACCATTACGCCTTAGATGACAACCATGCTCTTCATTTAGCGCGGAAGGCCGTACGAAGCCTCAATTACAAGAAAAATCTAGATGTAAGTCCAGATAAATGTGTGTTGGGTGATGTGTGAGACAAGCTGATGTTGTGTTGTTGTGTCTCGCAGGTTACTACGGAACCCACCGAAGCTCCTCTTTACCCTGCAGACGAACTCTATGGCATTGTTGGAGACAATCTCAAACGGAACTTTGACGTTAGAGAGGTACATTGACGACATAGATTGAAGTCTATTTTTTCCCCTGCTATTTCTATGCACATTTTCATTTTTATTCTTTTCCCCGAGAGGACCATTTCTTTTCAATGTGCAGAATCATTGTGCTGAATGCATTCCACCACACAAAAGAACCAAATTGCACAATTTACATACAAGCAAAAGAATGATGGGAAAGCACGTTAGTGTCGCAGCAGTGCCCAGGAAGCAAATTTGTACCTCTCCAACAACCACTTCCACTTTCCATATTTTTACATTCCCAGCTTCAACATTCAAACCTTTAACCACATAGCTCCAAAACCAAGTCTTTGCATACCACCGGTGGGCTACTTCATAATTTTTTTGTGGGGGGGATGAATTATTCACTCAAAGCAAAAAAATCGTCCGTTTGCTCTCTCAGCATGTGTGCATAATTGTGGTTTTTTTGGGCTTGTAGGTCATTGCCAGAATTGTTGACGGAAGTAAATTTGATGAATTCAAGGCATTCTATGGAGACACGCTTGTGACAGGTACGTTTAAGAACAAAACTGAACAAAATGCCTGGGGAAAAAATACTACATTGTTATTTCTACAAGGGGTCAGTGATTGTGTAGCGTTACACTCGCCTGACTTCAATGCAGCCAACTTGGGTTGGTTTAAGGGCTGATTGATTTTTAAAAATAATCCAATTGCAATTTTCTTCCCCTCGGTATTATGATTGCAAGTATGCAATTTTCTTAAGGTCCACGTTCCTTGTATTTTAAAATTGCATTCTACAACATTTCAATGTTGATTTGAATTAGATTAAATTTCACTCCGAGTTGGTTACCATTTCAGTGACGGTGTGAATGGAGGGGAAAAAAAAATGAACGTCATAGAAAATGGATGAATGGGTACCTCTCCCCCCATGAAGGAAATTATGTCTATTATTGGAGTCCACCGCCTGCATTACTGTCCTTGACTGTGAATATTTCCCTGCAGGATTTTCCAGAATTTTCGGTTACCCCGTCGGAATCATCGGCAACAACGGAGTGCTGTTTTCAGAATCTGCAAAAAAGGTAAAATATTACTTGTTGCGGCAACACGGGCTCAACGGCTCAGTCATGTGAAAGTTTTTCAGAGAGTGAGACCGCAGTGTTCTTGAAGTGTCAAGGACTTAAACACATTAGCCGCCGGAAGCCCCCTCCCACGGGGATATGTGCTGCCTCCAACAATGAATTCCAATATTCCTCTCATGAGAGTGCCTCGTCCTAATAGATGATTTGTTCTGACCCTTCTTAGTGGAGGGGCCGCTACAATAAGCTCTCTAATTGCGTTTGTCTGGGCCTACTCCTGAGTGGCCCCGAATACTATCGTAATAGGGTTGCGTTTGAAAGCCACGGACCATTTTTATTCACCGTCGTTCGCTTAATTTGCCAGGCCGTTCTGCCGTGAACAGAGCTGAACTGTAACCGCCCTTTAAATGGACGAGGTGTTGAATGTGTCATTATGGACTCGTACGCGTTTCACAATTGGCATTCGATTTGGTAGCGGGGGAGGGGGGAGGCCATCTGATTCATTTTCCCGTCTCGGTGTGAAAGTGCGAACATTGGGTGTTTTATCAGTGTGATTGCTGTTGAATGCGTCGGGCGCGGTGCCTCAAATGTGCTCGCCAAGCACATCCATGGAAAATCAATACTGCGACCGCTTTTGGATGTCATCGCCGAAAATGCAGGCGGCCTTCTGCGACGCTGAATGGCTCACTCAGAGCTGTTTGTGTTTTTGCAAAAGTGAAAAGCTGCAAAGAAATGATGGCATCTGTGCTGTCGGAAAGTGACGTGACTGATAATTAGTCTGCCGATTTGTTTACACACTCTAATAAGAGAAGAACCTCAAAACAAAGACACGAAGAGCATGGCCGAACACTTCTGTTCTGAATTTACTCCAGCCACTTTTTTTTTTTTTAGGGCACTCATTTCATCGAGTTATGTTGCCAGCGAAACATTCCACTTATTTTCCTGCAAAACATAACAGGTGAGTGGGAACTTGCCGGCGTGTCTTCATAAGTAGCTGTGACCGCCGGCGTCGGGCAGAATCCTCGTTCTCTAAAACCAAACCAAAAAATACCTTGTTTGATGAGCTATTCGCATTGCACCGTGAAAGGGAGCAAGCCTTGTAAATAACTGCTCAGTAATTTGTTAAAAAATAAAATAAAAGAAATTGGTCATGGATGCAAATAAACATAATGCTAAGTGAACCCCTTCAAAACTTTTTTAAGCCTAATTTTCTCTGTGTATTTTTAGAGAGAGGAGTTTAATTTCAAAAAGGTCATTTTTCTAATCAAAAAAGACATCTTTCATGAAAATAATATAAAATTTGTCAGGAAAAAGTTGTGTGAATAAGTTATTTTTCAAGAAAGAAAAAAAAACGTCTCACCTTTCCCCATTCTGTGAATAAAGATTTTATTTTTCAGGGCATAATGGTAAGTAAAAAGTTTGAATTTTTTTTAAAGAAAAAAAAGAAAGGAAAAAAATTTGGTTGTTGTAGTCCACAAAAAATCTTACTTTGTGTTGATGTGACCAGTGAAGTTGATAACGTGTCTTCCCGATAAGGTTTCATGGTGGGCAGAGAATATGAAGCCGGAGGTATCGCCAAGGATGGCGCTAAGATGGTCACTGCTGTTGCCTGCGCGAATGTCCCCAAGATGACCGTCATCATCGGCGGCTCGTACGGAGCAGGCAACTACGGCATGTGCGGACGAGCCTACAGGTACGACCACTTTGCACTTGGACGATCTGGTTTTGTTGTGCCGTGACTGGCGGCAGTACAAATTGATGAAGTGCACATCCTCCGAGTAGTTTAATAGCAGAAAATAAGGATAATTTGGGTTGTTAGGAGATGAACTACTAGTGTGTTGTTAGATCTATATTGATTTTTCCTTTTTTTTTTCAACCAGACTTGCCTTGCCGGCTATTTTCCCCTCCAGGCTTCCTAAAACACCACTTTGTGTTTTTTTTCCCCATCCCTCTCATCATGGCTAGCACATCCAGAGCACGCTAACTGACTGAGTGATTGCCTCCTTCCACAGCCCCCGATTCCTCTACATGTGGCCAAATTCCAGGATCTCCGTCATGGGCGGAGAGCAGGCCGCCACCGTCCTGGCCACCATCACCAAGGATCAGCGAGCCAGAGAGGGAAAGGAGGTAACAAAAGGCTTGCGCTAGCTACTCAGGATATCCTGCCAAAAGCATAAACATAATGATTTGACATCTTTTATTTAAAGATCACCCATTATGCCATTACTTAATGTGGTAATGATTCTGATTAGTGCTGTCGTTGGCTGCAATTAAAATGCGTTAGATGTCCTGTGGGGGATGTGCGGAGAGCTTTCATAGCTGCAAAATGACACCTCAGCTTGGTACTGATGATTAAGATTATTAGACATTATGCTATGTGAACACAATGAGACGACACATTAAAAGGTAATGTCCACATGGTGCCAAAATTGGCATTTTTTTTACCTTGTGTAAATGGAAAACGCTTAGCAACAATCTCATCATTATTGACCTCTCAAAAGTTCACAGCAGAGCAGGAAGCCGCCATGAAGGAACCAATAGTGCGGCGATTTGAAGAAGAAGGAAGTCCCTACTTCTCCAGTGCCAGGTAATGTTGGCCATTTTCTGTTGTATGAACAGCAGGGCCACTTTGCTGGTACAGTGGAACCCCCAAAGTGAAATGTCATCTGTCAGTCAATATCTGATTCGTTCATATTTTAAAACTAGCTTTTGTCCTAACGAATACAGATAAATAAATTTGAAATAATTTTCACTCCGCGCCGCGAGAGTGGCTGCCTTTCCTGCAGCTCCTATATTTTGTTGTTCTACTTCTTCCTTTCATAACTTTGCTGCTGTGAATTGGGAATTTCTCCATTGCGAGACGAATAAAAGTTTCTTATCTTATCTTATCTTATCTTATCTAATCTGTCAAATCTACAGTGTTAAATAAAGGAGTGTGCCACCTAGTGGCCGGCAGTGTAATCACACCCATAATAAACAGAACTATGCAAAAAAGAAGGGTTCAAGTGTTGCCCTCATGTTTTAACAGTAGCGGGCTGCATGTTAGGTACCTTGTCCTTTAGTTGGGGGCTTGCTCGAGGGCACTTTGGATCTGTCTGTCTAATCTTAATTAATAACATTTAATTAGATATGTTCGGAAATACATACATTTGACTTTGGAGGTTCCACTCAATTGATTTGCTTTGAATACAGGCGATCATAAGTCTACACACGCTAATGCCAGTTTTTGGGATACAAAAAAAAAAAAATTGTCAAAGCATTGTTACCTATGACCTGTACAGCTCTATTGGGAAAAAACACGTATTTTTAAGAGGGGAAGTAAAATTAAACGAGTGAGATCATCTATTTGCACAAGGGTGCACACCCTCTTCTAGCTGGGAACGTGGTTGTGTGTGTTGTAGACTTTTTATATCTACTGTTCATCTGTAAGCATGAGAGTAGTTTTCATCTCATGACGCTTCATGTTTCCCCCTCCCTAGACTGTGGGATGACGGAATTATTGATCCTGCTGACACTCGCCTGGTGTTGGGACTGAGTCTGAGTGCAGCACTTAACGCACCAACAAAGAAGACCCGTTTCGGAGTGTTCCGAATGTGATACACCCAGCCTGGACCCCGTGTATACTGGTCGTCGTCCTTTTGGGTTCGTGTTCTGCGTCACACAAAAACAGGAGAACTACAGTAGCAGAATATTGTTTATATTTTGGTGATTGGATGATGTACTGAGATCTTATCAAGGCCCAGTGTGAACTTGTGCCTTAACTGTTACAATTTGTAAATGACTCTGTCCTTTAAATATCATAAATTGTCGAAACAAAAGCGTTTCAGAAGAATTTTCTTCCGGAGCATTACCGGCTGCAATTTGATGGATTATCACATGGGGGCACTGTTGAGCCACAAACATCTTGCTGTAGCAAACCGTGCGATTAAAAGTGTTTTAAGGGTTGTGTGAGGATTGAGAGTTAGTTGCACCGTGGAAACTTAAACTAAACAGGTGTCTGGAGAACAGAAACCCAGGTGGGTTTGTTTTTCCTTCCGTGCAAAGCATCTGTTTTGACTTCATTTTAAAAGAGTGCAAATATCGTGTCCTAACAGGAACGAATCGAATGCCGTGATGGTGCATGCGGAGCGCAGGGGATGTGTACCAGAGCTTTCTCCCCCACACGGTCAGTTTATTTGTCGAACTTAACACGATAACGTCACAGCAGTGACTCATTTTTTCACAGCGGAACATTTGATGCAGCAGTGCGTTTCTGTTCGAAACTAACAAAGGCTGCTGGCTGTTGACAGCAGAAATAACTCAGACCCCGTGGGTGTGTGTGTGTGTGTGCTGTTGTGGGAGTGTGAATGCCACCCACAAAGCGCCTCCTGTAGCACCTCCGCCAGTTTTTAAAGCTGTTTTACCGGCCATCCGTTTTTTTCTCTTCCATCAAATGACCCTGAAGGGGGGCATGTATAATGGATAAAGCTGAAAAGTTTCACATTTATGGAAATTGCAAAAGTTAACACATTTGAAATAAGGAAAAAAAATCCTTGAGTCTGTGTCACATGCTTTTCCTAATGAAAGGAACTGAAATGCCCGCCCCCGCATGTGAAAATTTTTACCCTAGTGTAAAACTGGAGTCACTCCGGAGAGTCCCCAGGTGATCGTTATAGTGCAGTGGTTCACGTAGCTGTCTCGCTTGCCCTCTGATAAACAGGATACGCGTCCAGGGTGCAGTTCTCAACCCAAGTCAGCCCCTGCAGTCACCCTGCACAGCATAAGTGGTATAGAAAATGGATTGCTGGAATTCGAGTTCCATCTCCGTCGACCCATGATTCACCCCTCCATTTATTTATTTATTTTTTTGCTACCTATTTTTTTGCAAAATTCTGCCGACAGAATAGCGATCACAGAGCAGCACCATTTACCAAGTCTGAGACAAATCCTAGCCCAATTCTTACAGCTCCTTCGTTGGCCATTACTTCATTCCCTGCGCTAAATTTTAATCACTGAAGGGAAGGACCGAGCAGCATCTCCCATCCGTAGCCGAGAAATGTGCTCATATTTGCTTGCTAAGTGTGCAGTGTCATGTTTAATAGATGCCCCTCGGTTCAGCGGCTTGTTCGCTCCCTGACGAGAGTCTGCTCAAGACAATTGTGACTCATATTGAAGCAGCGGCCTAAAAATAATCCCGACTGCAATTCTGAGTCGGTCTCCACTTCTTGTAGAATGGGCGGTTGTTGCGCAATACTCTTACCTGTTGCTTTTCCCTTCAACGGTCTCTGCTCAATTTATTATGTTTTGATATAGGGGGGAGGGTATTTGAATGTGTAAGTGTAAACATAGTCATTAAAGACCCTGTAAAGTGAATTTGTTTCTAAATATGTGATATTATCATGTTATCACTGCTAAAATGGTACAGTGTGACGCACTTAAATCTCATATCTCACTGACAGGTGAATGCTTGCGAATGTGGCAAATTTGGGATTTTCATCAGGGTGCGTTGCAAAGCTGTTCCCAGGCAGTTTTTACTTAAACTGTTTTTCTTGTCGCCAAGGAATTTTTGATGTTCAAGATTCGCCACGTTTGCAAGTATTCGTCCCTCAGTAAGATATCCGTTTTTGGAATCCAGCTTGACTTGTATAGCGGCTCTAGGGCGCCTCGTGGTGTGGAATGGCCCTGAGATGACCAGGTGGGATATATTCCATCCACCGAATGCCTTAAGCAGATTTATTTTCGTGGCTCAAATGTAGTGTAGGGCATCAAGATGCTTGATGAGGTTGCATCCATTTGTCCATGTCACAGTAGTGGAATATGATTGACAGTATCAGTTTAGACTCAATCAACAGAACATGATCTATTAAGTATTCTGCCCTCCTCAAGTATTTATACTTGCATGCATCCATCCATTTTCTTTATAGCTTCACCTCGTTGCGGTTGTGGGTGACCTGGACACTATCCCAGTTGACTTTGGGTCAAGACAGCAGCGTACACACTGGACTGGTCGATCACAGAGCACGCTTTGCGTACGTATTATTTGTATACACACTGACAGGCCAGAACGTGACGTATACGCGCACAATGTAACGTGATCCCTGACGAAGCAAACTGGTCATTGGTCAAAATGTGAGTCAGAGCTGTGAGTGACTTCACATTCCTGTCAACACTATTTTGCGGTTTCAACTGTCTCAACAATCGATACCCTTGCCAACCGCGATGAAGCCCATGATGAACTTGTCAGTGTGTCACCCTACTGTTGACATCATTGCTAGAAAACATGCGTGACGTGCCCGGCCGCTGCACGTCTCCGTGCGCGCGCCCTCCCCCGCCGACTGCCCAAAACAAAGCTCCCCCACACTCCTTAGCCAACCAGCAGGCGGCGCGCGCCCGTCGTCTGGGTGACGTCATGCACTAACAGCTGGTCGATGAGCCAGGGAGAGAAAGGGAGGGAGGAGAGGAGAGGAGAGGGGGGAGGAGGATGTAAAAATGTAAAGCGGCAACAGCGAGCTGCACCGCGGCTCGAGCCCACGGCTACGAACACTCGGAAGCATGTGGAGGGTGGACTGCTGCCCCGTCACGAGGATGCTGCCCTTCATCGTTTACACTTTCCTCTGCGTTCCTGTGGGTGAGTGCACCGCTTTGTGTCAATGTATTTGTTTGTGACGGGCGGGGAGGCGGGGGGGGGGGGATTCTCGCGTGGAGCTGTTCATCTGGTCCTGGTGCTGAAACGGTTCCGGTGAGCGAGCCGCTTGCCAACGTTTCACTGCATACTGCGTGGTGCGTTCTTTTTTTTATGACATACTTTCATCGTCCCTCTTCTCTCTTCTGCGTTTATGGCGCATTGTTCAAGTTACTCATCCCAAAAAAAAAAAAAAAAAAAAAAAGCCGAAGTGACATTAACAGTGAGTTGCTTGGATCAGATTGTCACAAGCAACTGCGGACCCAATTTTCTTTGCCCTCCATACATAGATTCAACGTCAAGGTGTGAGACCAAACATGTAACAAAGACATCAGCTATGACAGCATGCATACCTTTGTGTCCTCCCGGTCTTCTTTTTTTTATGCTCTAGTAGGATGAAACCCACCCCACCTCCTCAAAAAATGTCTGTCTGCACTTTGTTTTACTGTTTGTGATAACTGGGAAAGAGTGCTTACTCCTCAGTGACGTTCAATTATCTTGTGAAATGTGTTCTGGGTTCTTTTTTTTTCCTGCGAGAGTAGGATGACCAACTATGTGAATGAAGTTTTATATTTAATGGACAAAATGCCGTGTACTGTATACCTTGTATATTTTAATGTTGTTATAAAAGCACCACCCTGTATGGATACTTAATATAAAAATCTAAAGGAAAAATGTATCCGTGACCCATAGGCTCATAAACAATGTACACACTCAAAAATGATGGGTTGATTTTCCAACCCACTCGCTACAACTGTGGATTTTGAGTCGATGGGGTTAAATATCAAATGCTGGGTTGTTTGCCTAACCCGCTCGCTGGATAGCTTTGGATCGTGAGCAGGTTGGGGTGGATTTACACATTGAAAAAAAATTCGTGGGTTGTTTTCCGAACCCACTCATTGTGTGGTTGTGGATTGTGAGCAGATTGGGTGCATACCCGAGTGGCTTGTTTCAATCCGGAATTTTTTTTGGAGGGGCACTTTCAGAGGAGTTATGTCCAAGTGGAACAGTTCGCATCCACAGACATGCAGAAGCCATCTGTGGTGGCTACTATGTTATTTATTGATTTTAATAAAAGTTTTTATATTGATCAAAATTAATTGAGAAGTACTATAATACCCTCAAATGCTCTTCTTTAATACCACACATGGGCCTCTTTCGTATGTGGACATAAATTGGATAAGAATGTGATGCGAGCCGGTAGTTCTGCTTCTGTGAATCTGCAAAGTTGTTTTTCGTAACATTCCAAAAACATGCGTGGCAGGTCAATGGAACACTCTAAATTGTCTCTAAGTGTGATTGTGAGTACAAATGGTTGTTTGTCTACTCTGCGATTGGCTGGCAACCAATTCAGGGTGTCCTGTGCCTGCTGCCCGAAGACAGCTGGGATAGGCTACGGCGTGCCCGCGACCCATGTGAGGGTAAAGCATTGATGGATCTGTTTAATATTTTGGTTAACCCCAACCCAAGCTTTCAAATTGTGCTCTCATCCACTTGTGTCATGATTCTGTTTTTGTTTCGATTACGTTTGGTTTTGTTTCCTCGTGTGCTTTTGTCTTCCTTGTTTTGGCTTTGTTTCCACCTGTTCTTGTGATCCTTTGTGTCAACCAATCAGCTCCCTCAACCCTTTTGTGTCTTGTCCAGGTGTTCCTTGTCATCTCGTCAGTCTGCTTGAATTTAGTTCCCTGGCTTTAATTCTTAAATAGTTTTCTGTTCAGTTTGACAGTAAACTAAAAATGGGAGTGGCTTTGAACAGCTTCAAGTGTTTTTTTAAATTTTATTATTATTATTTATTTTTGTAATAATGCACAGCCCACACCATCGATGGGAAATTTTCAGTGGGCAGTCAAGTGTTTATAGCCGGGCCATAAAAATATTCCATCCGCAGGGGGCGTCAATCTCAGACAGAATGGCATAATATCGGCAGTAAATTTCAAAATCTTTAGTCTGCACCAACCCCTGTCGACATTTTATTTATGTATTTATTTATTTATTTATTTTTAGGGAGCATCACCTGTGTTTTTGCACACCGTCGGTCTCACTGGACATCTGAATTTTGTCATGCATTCCGATAGAAGCACAATTACAGACAAGATTCTCTGGTCTAGCTCGCCGGGACGACTGGTAAATTTCCTTCTTATCAACCCGACGGCAGAACAAACGAGTCGCCCGGGAGCAGGTGGCTAGACAGGAGGTGGAGTAGCAAGTGGTGGGCTGGCGAGGTCAGACGGAGGAAAAGGTGTGGCTAAGGAAGATGGGGACGCAGCGGGATGGTGGGCTGGGTTGAAACATGGAATCCGAAACATGAGTTGGTGCGCCGATCTTGCCCGAAATCATGGAGTAGAAGTGTGGTGGGATTGGTGGAAAACTCACCGTTAAGAAGGTATATAATTGTCTTGTTACCTTCAGGGGCATAAGAAAACTTTGAAATTAGACAAGGTATCGGTCATGGAAAGGGTAAGTAGGGTCTGGAAATATCCTTATGCAGCTGGAACATATTTGTGTGTGTGTGTGTGTGTGTATGTGTGTGTGTGTGTGTGCGTGCGTGCGTGCGTGCGTGCGTGCGTGCGTGTGTGTGTCTATGTATGTATGTATGTGGAATTAAATTACCAGCTATGGTTCCGAGTGCTCCAATAGTTTCCTCCATCTTTACTTCAAGTCTTCAGTAAGTTGGTTGAATGGACAGATTTTTTTTTTCTTTTCGATGCTGACAAGTGAGAGGGAGTTAAATGTATAGGAAGCTCCCGTATGTAGCGGAGCGCGAGAGCACAATAACAGGAGCTTGGAGCTTTATCCAGGATCAGAGTTTAGCTCTTGACAACAAGATTGCTTCATTCTCCCGAGTTTCTCGGGCTTTAGCAGTCAAGGTTACTTGTGAGAGAGCTGGTGTGCGCTTTATGTGTGGTAAATTTTCTCCTTTTTACGATTACACGTCAGAGCAGGCTGCTGAGTGTGGGCCTCGATTTTCCTCCCTCGACGTTCCGATGGAGGCCTCTTAGCATCCTTTTATTAATGTTCACAAGAGATGCAGTGCATAGAAATTAAATGTTTTTTTGTTTTTTTTTTAAACTGGGTTTTTGCCCACCTGCTGTCTGAGTTAAATGCCAGACCGGCTTGTGCGTATAATGTGACAGATTACACCTGTCGCTTGATCTGCTGCTTTTATATGCAGAGCGTCGGCTGGGTGTAATCCAAGGATTTAACATTAAGCAGGATGCCAGTGAGCATACATGCACACAGCTGCCTTAAAAAAAAAAAAAGCCTATAGTGGGGCTGTCCAAAATACAGCCCACTGTAGGCTGGTGGCCCGCGCTACATTTATTTGTCAGTCTGAAGCATAGAGTGAAAATATCATTTGACACGGCTCCCAACGCTATTTATATCCTCTAGAACTTTTTTTCGTTATGCAAAAATGCAAAGTATCTATTTTACAGTCATCCTTCGCCAGGGCATGCTTCACTTTTTGAGGTTTCATTGAATTGGGGAGATTTATATTAATCTTGATTAAAAAGCCGTGCAACGTGGCTGTTGCAAAGCGTACCTCGTGAAAGTTGCACGACTGCACTTCTATGGTAAAGTAGTTAGCTAATTTAATTTAGCCTACCACTGCTACCTAAGCAGAATGAATCGTGACCCCAATGCAATTTCAGTCTATTTATTGAAGAAAGCTAACAAAATAAACACATGAACATATTCACACACATTTGCCGTATTGTTTACCACAAGCGACGCCGAGTCGCACGACACAGTGGCTAACCGTTTAGCCGGTTAACAGCCCACCAACACTCTACTCTGATTCATGGAGTCCCGGCTTTTAAAGTCACACGCATTCAGTCACGGTCACAGATACGTTCCTGTGAAACGTGAGGGTGACGACCCCGAGTGGATAAAAATTATACCTCCACCTCACGTATTGTATTGGTATTATGCAAATTCAACATTTGTCCATCCATCCATCCACTCTCTGCATATCTAAATGCTAATAATAAATTCGGGCCTTTCAAAATCGGACATAGATGGCTTCTTGAGCACCAGAATTTGGTTTCATGACCAAGCAGGAAACTTTGCTTTCAAGGGGAAGTGAAATACATTTTTTGCGATATTAGTTGTATGTGCCCCCACTAGTGCAAACATGGCATTCTGATTAATACTGCCTTTGTGGAATAAGACTTAAAACAGATGAACTCACCTATTTTGATCCATCTCAGGGAGCCGCCATGTTGGGAAATATCCCCCTCCGCTGTCAACCAAAATTATTATCAAAACTACCCTGCTCAACGTTGGCACTAGTGTATAATACACATACATAACACTGGTCAATATGTTGTTGTTGCTTTTTTTTTTTTTTTGGCGTGTTTAATGGATTCAAATTGTATAATGTCCAAATATCCCTTGCGTCCTTCCTTTCACTTTTCTGTATGCGGCCCATGTAGGAAACGTTTGGACACCCCTGCTGACTAAGATTGCACGCATAGATGTGACTTAGTTAAAACAAACAAAAAAAAAAAACCCAACAACATTGTCCATTTTCTCAGACGTTGTTCTCTTTCCTTGGCAGATTGCCTTTTTGTGACTGAATACTTCACCCGAACGCCTCGTAAGCTCAGTGCTTTCAACTCCTTCGCCAGTGTGGAACTGTTCCACTTCAATGTGCCTGACGACACCATAATGGCCGTATGGAACCTCATTACCTTCAAGGAACAAGGCGGTACCTTCGGAGACAGCTGCCCCAATCGCAATGTCACTGTGTAAGTCAATTCCACTTTGTTTTTTTCCCTCCCCCAAAAGTGGTGTTTAGTTTGCAATTTTGATTGGACATGCTTTCCCTCGCAGAAGCCGATAATACCAGGCCCTATTATTTCTAGTAGGACTTTAGATTGCACATCATGGTGATGGGACTACTTCTAACAGTGAAACCACAAAACGCGAGTGTGCAATGGCATGCCAACAATTCCGCGTTATCATCATTGGGGTTCAGTTTACGTAAAGCACAGTGAATGAAGAAAATGAATACCAAATGTTATGATATTTGAAATGGTACATTTTGAACGTTTCGATTACATTTTACTCATTTCGATATGTGATGGTTGTAGTCCGGTCTGAGGCGACCAAAACTCAAAAACGTTTTTTGTGAGGCCACCTAGCCTTGTTGTAAGCATGCTGCTAACGCCACAGAAGCCGCGTGTGCTGTTCATTTCGACACACGGGGAACAGCGACATCCCTGCATTTTCAACACATACAGTAAACATATTAGCACAAAAAGCTAACTTTAGCCGGTAGCCAGCTAGCAACCAATCTCAACTCAACTCAACTTTATTTGTAGAGGACTTTAAAAACATGCAACTCAGCTGCATACAAAGCTGCTGTGCATTCTGTAAAAAGCAAACATAAAAATATCGTTCAAACAATCAATCAATTACATCAAAACGGTAAACACACGAAAACAATGATGAGTCTCATGCTGGAGTTATGTGGAAAACTTTAAGCCTACTATGACATTTATCATAAGCCGCTTAACATATTTCAAGAGGACTTGTTTGAGCTTAGCTTGGCGTTGACTGTGCAGGCGTCCTATTATTTTGGCGAGTGAGTGTTGTGTTCGACATCCCCGTTGTTCACGACCCCGAGCGGTGAAATAATGATGAAAAATGCCCTGTGATTGACAGGTACTTCAGGTCCGGCGCTCCTCCGGTAATCAACCCCCTGAACACTCACTTCCCTCGGGATACGGTCGTCCCAGGATCTTTCGCGGTGACTCTGACCTGGACGCTCCCGAACCGAACAACGGGGGCGTTCAACGTGACCAGCCCGCTCCCGGGGGACTGGTTCCTGGCTGCGCATTTACCCAAGGATGAAGGCAAGATCTCAGTCAAGGTAACATTGAGAACAGCTCACATCACATCGATGGGGGTCGCCACACACCGAGCCATGTGCACAAATGAGAGTAGCGTGTAGACCACATGTGTCAAACTCAAGGCCCGGGGGCCAGTTCTAGCCCACCACATCATTTTATGTGGCCCGCGAAACAACTTTCATGATGGTGGCAAAAATCTCGACCAAAATGTCAAATTCTCATTTGTAATAAATAAGAGTGATACTGTAAGCATTTTCTTGTGACCAAACCCTTCATTCCAGTAATTGAAACAATAGGTGAATCAACTGTTTTTCTTGACTTCTTTATCTGGTTTCAGTCATAATGGCCCTCCAAAGGAAACTGTAACTAAAATGTGGCCCGCGACAAAAATGAGTTCGACACCCCTGGTGTAGACTAATGTGCCACCTTCAACATTATTTCTCGAGAGGAACACTAGGCCTTGGAGTTTTTTTTACCCGTTGCAGTGAGTTGCTATGTGTGTGAGATGCGAGTACCTGACATTATTTTTTTTCTGCTATTGTGCAGTGTTTGATGGTGTCACTCAATGCGCAGTGGGCCTTGAGTTGAAAAATAAACACTGTAGCTTTTTGGGTCCAGGCATTCCAAGGGCCCCCTCACCCTCTCAAAATCCAAATCAAACGGCAATTAAACATAACTACACTCCTAAATGCATTGGGAATCGTTATTTATTTGAGCGTTTCAACCTAAATATTCATGACCTGATCCCAATTTGTAACCCATTGTTCATAACAACATGCAAATGCTAATTGTCATCTTCATGGGGTTGTATGCTCTGCATTATCCACAAGTAGCTTGCAAGACGGACGAGTGAGAGAGTCCTCACACTGCGTAGCACAACAGTTTTATAACCGCCAGTAATGATGTCAAATGAATCCAGCTCCAAGGACAAAATTAGCTGTAATTGAATCATTTGTTGCTTAGTGACAGCTCAATCACAGCTTGTGGTCACTATTTTTGAATGTCAAGTCTCATGTGCTGATTCTTGTATTCCACACAGCACGTGACCTGACTAATCGCAGGGTAAGAAAGCACAGCAACAGGTAGTAGCCATAGTAACGGACGCCGCGCTACAATAGGTTTTCATAAATAAACCATTAAGATTATTAGACACCACAGCGCAGATGGCAGATTTGGGTTGATGATCTTTAATTTGGGATATTATAAGCTCATTATCGTGTGTATCGTGCATAAGTGTCAGGTGTTTGTGCTGCGCCATCGTCCCACTCGTACACCGCCGCCGCTCCTCTGGCGACTAAAATAGATCCACACTTGACTGCTTTTATGATCGGCTGTCATCGCCGCAGTGGCGTTCATAAAGCTCCGGAGGGAGGAGCGATTTAAGGATGCGGCTGTGCAGTTATTATTTTTTCCCATCCTATGTCTGAGCTTTGCTTTGACCGGACCCAGGTGATGGACGGGATGCCCCTGTTGACCAAAACAATCTCCCTTCCCCTCCCGATAGAAACATAATGATGCGGATTGAGCAGCGTTATTGTCGAAGCTTGCAGTAGATTAAAAAAAAAAAAAAAAAAAAAATAGAAAGTTGCTCTGGATCTATCTATCCACCCATCCATATACAAATAAAATGAGTGCATATATGAAATATGTATAAAAATGAGCGAACTATTGGCTTTCTTTTTATCAACTGTTTTTAATTCCTGAAATTCCATAACTCTCACAATGGAGGGGAGAATTACTGTATCCTTTTAAAAAAATATTCTGACGGTCTCACAATATCGCAGCTGGTCATAAACGTATCGCCCGTGGTGAATGGAGGTTTCACTCGATTCCTTGCACAGCCTCAGGTTCCCCTCTGGCCACTTGCCTTTTGTTCACCTGGCGGGGGGGGATGGGGCAGACAAGAAAAATCCCCACGACTGATGTATTCAAGAGATTAGTATTCTGTCTTGTGCTGCGGAAACTAAAGAGGCAGAACCGTGTCTGAGGAGTTTTGCTTCATCTCATCGCGTCCGTCGACGTGGTCACATCAAGACCAGCTGATTTCCATTGCAGGCAATTTACCTGCTGCCGCCCCTGTGTTTGTTTGTGCTTTCCTTTGTGGTCTCCAGCGGTCCATGCAAAATACCCCGGCAGAACACGAAAAAAAAAAAAAAGTCATGAATGTCATCAGAAATTGCCCAAGACGCGCAATTGGTTCTGTTTGGAGACGCCAATGACACACGGCAGAGATGGAAAACTCTTAGCTTTTTCTAAATTCTGCTATCTGAGGCCATTTCCCGCCAGGCAAGGAATAATGCTTACACGCCTGCTTGCACACACATATAAAGTGTAATAAATCCTGCGGTACTCATCTGTAATATGGAAAAAAATGTTTGCAGGTGTTGTTAGTGCACACTCGATGGCTCCTTGAACTTCATATGTGTCATTCATTTTACAGTTTCAACCTCATTGACTAAAACGTCAAACTATTAAACTTTTGCTTGCAACACGCACACACAAAAAAAAACGATCAAGTGATGGCTCTTAAAAGACTTATTGTATCTGTCTGAAGCACGGTGTAATTATTTCACAGGGAAGTGATATTAAAGTAGGAATTGTTGTTAAAAAATGCTAACGATACTAAAGCTACTTATATCTCAAAGGACCCACATGACACCCATAGGGTGGCCCTCATACTGCCTGATTGAATATCATGACGAACATCAGTAAATGCTGAAACATAAAAAAAATATACACAAGTGTAAAATTGTACAGAAAACTACTGAAAAAGCCAGCTCCTTGTGTTCTTTAGAGTAGAGTAAAAATAGCTGGTTCTTTAGTAACGTTATAGCTTAGTGTGCTAACATTAGCCGCAGGGTCTGCATTAGCAAGATCAGAGTTGTTGTTAGTTCACATTTCACGTTTCCTAGTCATTCACGTTTATTTCATTTATTTTTACAGTTTCAACCTAATTGACTACAACTAGCCTGGCACATAATGGTGCCATTTAATACTGTCTGGTTTAACGGCTTATCAGCCCAGCGCGCCCGACTCCTGATTACCCATCATGCAAAGCTTGGCGTTCAATGAGGGATTTAATGGGAGGCAATATGAGATGTGAAAGATATCGACTGTGTAACCCAGCGGCTGGCCATCCGTCTTTGTTCTCCCACGTGTTGGGTGCCCTGATAAGCAACGAGACTCTTATTAATGACACAACAATACGACACAGACTCATTACCCCACTACCCCCTCACTTAACTGTTGATTATTCTTTCCTTATGCCATTTGGTAGTGTAGCGATTCGCATAGCAGACTTGGATGCATCTGGCATTTGTGAGGTTTCCATAAAGCAACACATTACAAAAGAGTCAACCTGGGGCGGGTGCAAGAAACGTATACACTGTTTTTGGAAAGCCGTAATTTTTTCTATTGGTGTTTTGCTTCCCAAAAAATATATATTTCAATTTGTCATTAGTATTTTGTAGTTTTAGTTGGCTTTACAAAGATGGGTAGATAGCTGAACGTGTATTTATAGTGATACTTAGACAGACAGACAGACAGTTATCGGTTCATACGTAGGTTGATGTATGCTGTATAGGCAATATTTAGTATTATTAGCTTAACGTGCTCATATTAGCAATAGGGCCTCGTGGGATAGCGTTAGCTTTTCATGTCCTTGGCTACTCTAAAGTGATGAACGCATGCATGGTTAGTCGAGGTGTAACCCAAAAAATGTTTGGAATCGGAAAATTGGTTTTGATTTGATGTGCTGGATCAAATCGTTACATTTTTAAATTATTGCATATTTGAATTATATTCACCCCCACACCTCCGCCCCATGTTTCGAGATTCGAGTTACACATCAAATTGTGTTTTATGAAAGATGTAAACCAGATATAAATCGGTCTGACGGTGGAGATGATTTGTTTGTTGTTGAATTTCATTACCTTGGATAGTTTGGGCTTTGTACAGATTTGAGATGCATTTTACATTGGCATCGTTACAGCCGTACCATATTGAATCGCAACCCCTCTAAATCCAACCAAATCGAATTGTTAACATCGGTCATATTTTAAAATCGTCACACCCTTGAATCGTGTCATATCCCGTGTGTTGATAATTGTATTGAATCGTCTTTTGGAAAGAGATGCCCACCTCTCATGGAGAGATACGTAGATAATTTCATCTTCTTTGGTAAATATGAGCAACATATACAGTACAACCTGATGGCTGAATAGGAAGATAAACACGTGAAAGATGTCATCGGAGGCCTTCAAAAGTTCCTCAAATGGTGTGCTGCAATTTGAAAGCCGAATGGCGAGCTGTAATCCATCAAAGGGTGACTAATGACGCGCCACATCATCATGACTACAGAGAGAGGACAGAGGAGGGCTCGTGTTCACTTGACAGGAACTAAAGACCTCATTGGGCATTCACACCTGTCCTACTCGTGACGCTCTGTTCCTCGTCAAACTAATTTGGCGGCCGATGGTGCGAGTAGACTGCCGGCTTCGTGTCACACACACCGACGTACGTGACGCTCTAATGGGACGCCGCAGCAGCACCGAGTGGGATGGAAGGTGCTCGTTTCACTGGCTGGCTCGCTGGAGGGAAATGGCGGGGGCCCAAATGTGTTATTAATCCCAGGGACAGACTTTACGCTCACATGCTTTTGGAGGCAGATGGTCTGAATGATAAGCATCTTTCAAGTCTTGCACAATTTATAAGACGTCCCTGCAAATCCACTCTGTCTGTCTGTGTCCTTTTGGTGTAGGGTTTGTCTGAGGAGTGCCAGTATCTGTTCCAACCTCAGCTCATTGTCCAGAGGCTTGTTGGGATCGCGGTGCTGTATCCGGGATACTTCATTGACCAGATGATTCCTGCTCACAACAGATCTGCTCTTTACAAGTAAGTCCACTCCAACGGAATGATTTTTGAAAAATAATCAAATTGCGATTTTCTTTCCCGCAATATTGAGATTGCGATTTCGTATGCAATTATTTCTGTTCAAGGTCCTGATCCTGTGTATATATTTTTTAAAGTTTTGGTAATTTGTACATATTTTAAAAAAATTAAATAATTTACTGACTGACCAACAGCCGTATTTTTTTTTCTATTTCTTTATTTCTCTTTTCGAACTGCAGCGTGCCAAAAATTGCATTCTACTACATTTTAATGTTGAGATGAGATTGATTCATGCGATGCTTCTGCCAAACATCCCGTCAAAAGTTTCAATACATTTTCCGAATAATCATCTAGTCTTTTTGCAACTGCACACGTCGCATTATAAAAAAAATAAAAAATAAAACCATATTTGCCTCAAGTGGCTCCCCTAGCTTATTATTGTAGTCTAGAAGTGCAACTTGTTCATTAAAAAATGCAATTTTCTCTGCTTCTTTATTGAGTTTGCCTCCTGTAAAAGTGAAGTGTCGGAGGAGCAATATGAAGTTTTTTACATTCTGTTTTCAATTATGTTTTTTGGTCCACTAAGTCAGTGTTGTGATGACTCTTTCCGAGGTGGTTGATCTGTTGTTCGATGAGTCTGCCGGGAATGTTGTTGTTATAATTTTTGAATGTGCTTTTAGTGTCTTCATTGCTTGAGATCTAAATTCATTGGAATAGATTTTAATTTCTTTAGTTTCATTTGCTGTGGTGCATCCTCTCATGCGAAGCGCGCGTGTGTGTGTGTGTGTGTGTGTGTGTGTGTGTGTGTGTGTGTGTGTGTGTGTGTGTCTGTTTGTGCGTGTGCGCACTCGCAGAGTGTTTGTTCCCAATTACATATCAAAGGTGAAAGTTCAGCTGTTGAACTGCGGCGTGAAGAACAAGAGTGGCGACACTTGTCCCGTGGTGTTGAAGATAAGAGCGCGGGCGCCCCCGGTGCACAACTCGAGTGCCCTCGACTGCCGCGAGTGGAGCCCCTGTGAGCTGGATGCCTCGGTGCCTGCCTGGGAGCAATGGTACTACATCCTGGTGGAGAGATACCTCACTAACGCCAACGTCTACTTCCGCATCGGCGTGCAGGTTACGGGTGAGTGCCACGTCAACAAAGATAACACCTGAACAGCGTCATGTGGTCCAATGCAAGCGTTCCACTATCTCTGTTGATTGTGTGTCCGATAATTAGCATCACAGGCATCTTCAGACTCGTAATCAGTCAGTCAGCCTATTTCAATGGTAGCAAGTAGTCACTGTGCTCTTTGGTGACATGAAGTGTACCACACGAAACGTAGACCAGAGAAAGCAAAGGAGCGAGTTATCGCAGGAGATTAGAAAGAAAATTATAGACAAGCAGGTTAAAGGTAAAGGCTATAAAACCATCTCCAAAGTAGCCTCAATGTTCCTGTGACTCCAGTTGCACATTTTAGAAATGTAAGATCCATGGGACAGTAGCCAACTTCCCTGGATGTAGCCGCCGGAGGAAAATGATGACAAATCAAAGAGACGGAGAGTACAAATAGTACATCGGTGTCAAGATTGTGCCATCTGTCAATGTTTGAGCCAAAGGACTTCATTGGGAGACCAAGATCGAGGAGGACACCACTGTTGAAAAAAAAAAACAAAAAAAAACAAAAGCAAGACAGGAAGTTAATAAGCAGAACCAATTCGAAATATTCGTGTACTTTTTTTTTTTTTACCTTATCTACCAATGACCTGGCACATCTCTCCAACTTTTCTGATGCACTCCTTATGTTTGACAGCACTGTAGCAAAAAGACCACTGCAAAATGATCATTTTCATCGATTTTGCTATTTTTGCATTTGTCTTCGTGTCAAATAAACATAAAACCTCTGAGTACAGTTACTCACTGAACAAAAATAAAGTCATCGTTACGCCAGAAATGCGTTTTAATTTGTGACTCTTATCAGCACAAGTGTGTACTTATGACTGATACTTACTATCCATGCTCAAATATATTTGTTTCTCTCTCTCTATTTATTTATTGGCTTTCAGTTTTCCGATCCAAACTTCAAAACGTGTCCAGATCCAGCGGGCCCCATTAGGGGGCTCGTTCCCGAAGGATGCAACCCAAAAAAGAGGGGGTGGGGGGGGTCTTCATGTGGTACTATAACACTTAGTTCCTCACAAAAGTGCTCCATGTTGTTTTTAGCTTGCAAAGAGCAGAGATGTTGCGCGTTCTCAGCCCTGCGGGGGTGCCGAGGCGCCGGAGAAATCTGCGGGAAGTCCGCTTCCCTCTCTCTATTCGACATTGTACTACAGTGCACCTTGTCACCATGGCAACGCCGGCAGTAATTATTCACAGTATGTCTTTTCCCCGCTGGACCAGCCTGATCTTACTTGACCTTTCGTGGGCTTAAATTGAAGAACCCTTCAGGATCAGCCGGCATGTTGTTGGAGCACTTCGACTTTCCTACCAGGAAGTACTGAAAGTAGGCTGCTCTTTATAATTGATTATGGTTGTTTTTGCAACATACTTCGCGCAGGTTGTAGCCTCAGTGGAGAATTTGGCATTGTGCATTTGAGCCAAATGTTTGGATTATGAATAGTCTGGAGTTTTTTTTTACGCAACCTCCCCTCCTGTTCCACCCCATCACATAGACACGTAGTAGATTTAGTTTTGAGTGTTAAGTTATGATGACCGTAGCCTAAAATATGGAACACTAAAGTGTTTTATTTCCGTTTTAGCAGCCTGAACAAATGAGTTAAAGCCATGCATCGACAACATTTGTTCAAAGGAGGCAGGCCTTCAACAACCTTTGCAAATTCTTTTTCCCCCCCTGGGTAACGCCTGCTTTTTGATTGTTGCCCGTCACGACCATTTTTTGCAACGGGGCGCTTTGTGCTCGGTGAAAGCACACGGCTCGCAATTACTGTGGATCTCTGTCTCATTAAAAAGCTTCCTGTTTACATAGTAGAAGCCCGCCGAAGGGGATGATCTGCAAACGACTCTTTCTGCAAAGCGCGCCTTAATACCGCCAGTACAATAACCCAGGCTGTTATTGCCTGTTTGTGGAGGACTTGCTATGGATTACCACCCCCTCCCGTCCGCCATGACGCCTCAAGTAAACTGGCATGTAACTCTCAGGAAGTTTCGAAACACTAACAAACCTCACGACTTTACTGTGGGGGGAGGGGGGAAGCCTATCATGCTTCATGCTAATAAGCCATACAAAGCGCCATTGACATGCCAACGGGTGACACTGATTGTCGCTGTTTTAGAATCAATGGATATGTGAACACAAACTGTGGAGCAACACATGTAGACAGATAAAATAACAATACTCACAGCCATATGTTGTCTATCCTTTATGAAAAATGACTAATATTGGAGCATCTTACATAGTCAGTCACAATAGTAGAAAAAAAAAATCATTTTCTTAAAACAACCACCGCTGTATACAAAGTGCTGTACGTGGAGCAACTATCATATTTACAACAATAAAAATCAAAAAATAAATTAATAACGAAGACAGTAGAAAGCAGTAGAAAGCAAGACAGTAGAAAGAAAGTAAAACAAGACAAAAGTCATGCTGAGTCAAAAGGCAACCAATATAACAGTACTCAGTCATATATTCTTTACCCTCTGCAAAGAACGACTAATATTAGTGCCGTACTGATGAGCCGAGAGGAGTTTCGATGTGAGGGGGACTTGTACTGCACACATGTGGCCAAAAACCGGCACACCAGAAAGAGCGGCTCAATGGCCATTCGATTGTTGCAGTGTGAAAAAATGTTCAAGCCTTTACATTCCATTTAATTATGTTCACGACTGTGTATTTTGATCAAGTGCAATTTTGGAGAGTGCTTTATGCCTTGCTCAAGAGGCCCCTTGACAGCAAACAAGAAGCAGATTAAAGCAAATCATTTGTCTGGGGGTTTTGATTTCCATCTGTCTTTTTTCCTATCCAGACTGCACCAAGTCCAATGCATCCAAGGAGCAGTCCCCCGCCAGCTCGTCCATGAACATGCCGCAGTCGTTCGGCACGGCGATGGCACTCTCCCTGTCCGACAGCCTTTCGGCGGTGCCGCCGGCAGGCCCGTGGGACAACGCCCCCCCGCCCCAAGCGTCCGGGCTTATCAGCACAAGTGTGTACTTATGACTGATACTTACTATCCATGCTCAAATATATTTGTTTCTCTCTCTCTATTTATTTATTGGCTTTCAGTTTTCCGATCCAAACTTCAAAACGTGTCCAGATCCAGCGGGCCCCATTAGGGGGCTCGTTCCCGAAGGATGCAACCCAAAAAAGAGGGGGTGGGGGGGGGTCTTCATGTGGTACTATAACACTTAGTTCCTCACAAAAGTGCTCCATGTTGTTTTTAGCTTGCAAAGAGCAGAGATGTTGCGCGTTCTCAGCCCTGCGGGGGTGCCGAGGCGCCGGAGAAATCTGCGGGAAGTCCGCTTCCCTCTCTCTATTCGACATTGTACTACAGTGCACCTTGTCACCATGGCAACGCCGGCAGTAATTATTCACAGTATGTCTTTTCCCCGCTGGACCAGCCTGATCTTACTTGACCTTTCGTGGGCTTAAATTGAAGAACCCTTCAGGATCAGCCGGCATGTTGTTGGAGCACTTCGACTTTCCTACCAGGAAGTACTGAAAGTAGGCTGCTCTTTATAATTGATTATGGTTGTTTTTGCAACATACTTCGCGCAGGTTGTAGCCTCAGTGGAGAATTTGGCATTGTGCATTTGAGCCAAATGTTTGGATTATGAATAGTCTGGGGTTTTTTTTACGCAACCTCCCCTCCTGTTCCACCCCATCACATAGACACGTAGTAGATTTAGTTTTGAGTGTTAAGTTATGATGACCGTAGCCTAAAATATGGAACACTAAAGTGTTTTATTTCCGTTTTAGCAGCCTGAACAAATGAGTTAAAGCCATGCATCGACAACATTTGTTCAAAGGAGGCAGGCCTTCAACAACCTTTGCAAATTCTTTTTCCCCCCCTGGGTAACGCCTGCTTTTTGATTGTTGCCCGTCACGACCATTTTTTGCAACGGGGCGCTTTGTGCTCGGTGAAAGCACACGGCTCGCAATTACTGTGGATCTCTGTCTCATTAAAAAGCTTCCTGTTTACATAGTAGAAGCCCGCCGAAGGGGATGATCTGCAAACGACTCTTTCTGCAAAGCGCGCCTTAATACCGCCAGTACAATAACCCAGGCTGTTATTGCCTGTTTGTGGAGGACTTGCTATGGATTACCACCCCCTCCCGTCCGCCATGACGCCTCAAGTAAACTGGCATGTAACTCTCAGGAAGTTTCGAAACACTAACAAACCTCACGACTTTACTGTGGGGGGAGGGGGGAAGCCTATCATGCTTCATGCTAATAAGCCATACAAAGCGCCATTGACATGCCAACGGGTGACACTGATTGTCGCTGTTTTAGAATCAATGGATATGTGAACACAAACTGTGGAGCAACACATGTAGACAGATAAAATAACAATACTCACAGCCATATGTTGTCTATCCTTTATGAAAAATGACTAATATTGGAGCATCTTACATAGTCAGTCACAATAGTAGAAAAAAAAAATCATTTTCTTAAAACAACCACCGCTGTATACAAAGTGCTGTACGTGGAGCAACTATCATATTTACAACAATAAAAATCAAAAAATAAATTAATAACGAAGACAGTAGAAAGCAGTAGAAAGCAAGACAGTAGAAAGAAAGTAAAACAAGACAAAAGTCATGCTGAGTCAAAAGGCAACCAATATAACAGTACTCAGTCATATATTCTTTACCCTCTGCAAAGAACGACTAATATTAGTGCCGTACTGATGAGCCGAGAGGAGTTTCGATGTGAGGGGGACTTGTACTGCACACATGTGGCCAAAAACCGGCACACCAGAAAGAGCGGCTCAATGGCCATTCGATTGTTGCAGTGTGAAAAAATGTTCAAGCCTTTACATTCCATTTAATTATGTTCACGACTGTGTATTTTGATCAAGTGCAATTTTGGAGAGTGCTTTATGCCTTGCTCAAGAGGCCCCTTGACAGCAAACAAGAAGCAGATTAAAGCAAATCATTTGTCTGGGGGTTTTGATTTCCATCTGTCTTTTTTCCTATCCAGACTGCACCAAGTCCAATGCATCCAAGGAGCAGTCCCCCGCCAGCTCGTCCATGAACATGCCGCAGTCGTTCGGCACGGCGATGGCACTCTCCCTGTCCGACAGCCTTTCGGCGGTGCCGCCGGCAGGCCCGTGGTACAACGCCACTCAGCCACAAGCGTCCGGGGACAGCGTCATCTACTTGGCTCCTCCCACCGCCAGCAACCAGTGCTGGCCCATCCGTCCGACGCTTCGCAACGAGCTGGATACGTTCTCGGTGCACTTCTACGTCTTCTTTGGTCCAAATATTTCCATTCCGCCGGACAGGGCGGCCGTGTTCGCTATCAACCTCATGCCAGTCTTAGACAGCGGCGGCGTTCTCAACATGGAGCTCAAGCTCAACATGGTGAGTTCTTCGGCGCGATTGCTGTGGGGGATTTTAGATGAAAACAAACAGGGGGACACATATGAAAACCTTGGCTTCGATCCACCTGTTTTTTGTTTTTTTTGGGGGGTGGGTGTTGGCACTCATCTATTTTTACTGATAATAGACATCTCATACTCAGAACTTGTGCCCAAAAAGCAGCAATAGCAACACCAAGCAAAAGTGGTTATAGAAAAGGCATTTTATACATTTTTTTTCTTTCTTGCAACTAAATGCTCTTATTGACAAAATGTGAATTTGGGATTTGGGAGTGGTAGTAGACTAGTAGTAGTAGGTAGTAGACTACAACAAAAATATTATTTCCCCTCCAAGCTAGACTGTACCTATAACTAGCCAAGTCAGAGACACTAATAACTTTGCACAGATCTCTTCATTTATTTCAGAGATAGGCGACTAGTCAACAACCTCAAGTGTCAAGAAAATATAATTTAGTTAATTAACTTTTAATTGAGTTAATTAACTACACACGACACGAGCCCACAACCTTTGTATTGCTGCACCCTTGCTCATCTCGAAGACCAACGCGCTGCCCGTTGCGTCACACGGACACCTGTCCTAGCAAGTTGGGGGAGGGGGGTAAGAGGGGGGGGGGATTCCATGTTTTTAACACCGTTGACACCAATTTCTATCGATGCTTCTATCACATACACCGAGGTGACAGTTGTAATGTCACGTCAGGTCAATGTCATACATCATCTTCATTTCATACTCGCTCCCGTCCACATGACAAGGAATCCCGTTCATTCATTCCACACAATTAATACGGTTCTTAATGATCAATTAATTACCGTGCTCAAACCGAGGTCAAAGTGTGAAATACTTGACTGCCTTTTAAATGCTGCGGCAGCTGCAATCGTCGGCCCCCGAATGGTGCCGCTTTGCAAATCTGAGACTGCACAGTGGGTAAAATGCATCAAGAATGTGTCAGGAGGAGTTGGAGATGTCTTTGTTAAGTTGTCCTTCAGCCGGTAATGGCATTAACAATGCACCTGCAGTGACTCTGGAGGTCTGCGGGGAGACGCGAGCTGGGGAGCTGCCAGATGGACTTTTAATAGAAAGCAGTCAGTCAGTGTTGAAAGAACAAGCGGGATGACACATTCAATCCCAGCTGAAAACTTTGACTGTTCCCTTCAAAATGTAAGCCTGCGCAATATGCCCCCTTCTCGGCAGATTTGATGGATGGATGCCATTTTCTATCTTTGTGCACGGCACACAAGTCAGTTGAGCTTTTAAGTGGCTTTAAGGTTTACTGTGTACACAACATTCGCTGCAACCGCGCACCCCGATGAGCTACAGGGACGGGTGCTGTATCACACTTGATGCTTTTATGGAGAAATTACAGTTGCACCGCTTATCGCAGGGCACACAATTGTTGGTAAAAAAAACAAAAAAAACAACCATTCACACTCACAATCACACCTGGGGGGACAATAAAGAGTGTCCAATTAACCTCGCATGCATGTTTTTGGAGTGTGGGAGGAAACCGGAATACCCGGAGAAAACCCACGTGGACATGGGGAGGAACATGCAAACCTGAAGGAAGCAGCTCCGTGGCCATTGAATCGAAGCAAAAAAAATGCTGCAAAAACCGTTTCCTTATTGACATTCTACTTAATTGGATCACAGCGATATGTCTTTCCCAACGCCCGCCAAATAGCTCCGGCAGGTGCAGCGCGCGGGTCCGACGTCCTACCTGGATGCCGTTTGCCTTCCTTGCTGTCCGCATCATGTGATACGCAAACACGTCTCTCATCAGCGGCGAACAAACGCGCGCGGCTGAAATTGATCATCTCATCCGAGCGGCCACAAGAAAGCAAACAGGGCCCCCGTGTGCCTTTACCTCCCGCTTCCTCTCCAGGAAATGAGATTAATGGACTGAATAATTCATCGGATGGCTTATTGACTGATGTCGTGGAGTGACGGTGATTACTGTCACCTCACAGACAGACTTTAATGTGAATCCCAGTTCTGATTTTTTTTTTTTTTTTTTCCCCCGCTCTCCAAAACTTCTCCCCTAATCCCTCCCACATGGGCACGATTGCCATATGTGTGGAATTGAACTCGCGGACGTCATGGCGTGATGAAACCTGGCCGCTTCTACAAGCCTGGAGATATAGGCTGTCATGCGTTATTATTTTATAGACATATTACAGACCCCCCACCCCCCATCCACCCTCAAGTCGTGATGTGTCTGTCACTCGCTTCCATTGGGGAACCCTGGCAGAGTTGCAGTCACAAAAGCAAGAACATCTTGTCTGCATTGCGTCACGCTGAAGAAAAAACACAGCAAAAGCAGATGCAACGTGACTTTTTTTTTTTTTTTTTTACCCCTTCTCATCCATTTAATCTCTTTGAATCCAATTTTCAAAGTTTTCTTGATGTCAGGCTTCTGTGCGCTGTAATGAGTTACTTCTTGGCACTCTGTCTGTCTTATTAGCTTTTGTACATCACAATGTGGTTTTTTTTTTTTTCCATCAGCGGCGCACCTCCTTTGAGAAACTTGTTTAGCAGACGGTGTTGAACTCAGTCAACACAAATTGGTGAGAGTCGAGCAAAAGCCAATTTAGTTCCCGCCCTCGCAAATCACATCGATGGGAACGCGCGTTACATTAAGGAGCCAAACGAAAGTTTATTTTAATTAGTTTGGGTAGCGGAACGTGCAGGGGCGGTTCTTCGCCGTGCATCCGGCCAACTTCTTCCTCCTCTTCCTCCTTGCGTCGGTTGACTCGACGGCCTCTGGGGCGCATGCTCGCCACCAAATGCAGCAAATAAAAAAGTGAAGTGACATCAACTGGCATTTATCAAAGCTGTCAGAGGACGCCGATGAAATCGCAACTCAGCCGTTCGCAGAATGGATCCGACACCGGTGAATGGATTACCCGGGCAAATGTTGACAAAAATGTTACTTTCCATACGCCGATGAATACAAACGAAGTGGACAAATTTGACAAATGTCGCAAATGCAGACGGCTTTTTGAGAGTGGCCCAAAGACGTTCATCTTCGTAGAAGCTTGCACGCTATCCTGAACTGTCAACCATTCAATTTCAGACGTGTCTTTTCTTCATTTTCAACTTTTGCTCTAGATCTTGGACCGACAAAAATCGTCGGGTCCTTTGTCTCACAAATCACCAAAGCGGTAATTTCTTTATTTTGTGCAACATCTTCCTCTGGCCATTTCATTTGCACACAGACGAGTGCTGTCCTTGAGACCTTGAGAAACGGCTCGGATCTTCTTTTCAATTTCATCTTTTTACCGACGTGGAATTTCATTCCGGGTGGCTTTATATTCTCTTTAAAACGTTAAATCAAAGACGTTGTAAATGCAAAAAGGCTCGCGATGTGGCTGTTGGCATGCAAGAAAACTTTTGCGACTTTTGCAGGTCGCTGCCACCCAAAATGTCATTTCGGTCTCGACCTTCGGAGCAGAGTTTACGCTTTGTGGCTCTGGGAGGGAAGCGCAAGTGGAACTAAGGGAGGTGTACGACTCATTACGGGCCGAGTTTTGAAATTGGTTTTGATTGAGGCGTTTTATCCAGAGATTGTCGGGCAGATGGTGACTCGAGGAAGCACCTGGCAAAGTGTCTGCCGGCTCCTTTCATTAATCAGCACTGTCCCGACGTCACCACACTGTACGCCGTACTGCAGTTTCTTTTCCTACTAAAAGGTGATCGTCAATAAAAGGACTCATCAAGGTTTATTTACTGCAAAGTTAAGGCATGAATAAATTGCAATCTGTTTTGTAGCCATCTCTTTACCATTCTGCTCGTCCTCGTTAGGGTTGCGAGTACCTGGAACGCGTCCCAGCCAGCTTCACATCATGCTGCGGGATCTGTTTTTTTTTTTTTTTTTGTCTTTTACTCATGGTTTGTCCTTTCTCTTGATATTTGCTCATCTGGTGTGTTACAGTCGACGCTTAAAGACAGGAATGTCACCGTGCAAGGCTGCCTGACTCACGGGATGCCGCTCTTCCTTTGGCAAAGCTCATTGTCGAAATGTGACTCAGGTACGTCCGACCCGGCGATGCCGCGATCCCTTCAAAAGTCAAAAAAGTCTTTACGAATGCTCTCTGTGTCCAGCACGGCCGTGTTCGCGACAATTTCCTTTTTCTTTTGCTCCGTCGTAGAATCCGTCGCCGGGTTTTTCCTCTCAGTGAACACCTCCACCAATATCACCAAGCTCAGGATTCCATACCCTCAGACAGGCACGTGGTACCTCAGTCTGCGCTCTCTATGCGCCGCACAACACGGGTAAGACTGCTCAAAATGTGTTCAAGTCATTTTTTTTTTCTCCATATTGCTAAAGACATTTTTAAGAAGTCCAAAAAAAAAAAAATTACGGAAGGGGGAAATTGCTTGTTTGGGGGAAGTTGTCAGCCACATTAAGAATTTACTGAGTTGTTTGGTTTTGCCTTAAAAATGCAAAAATGTGAACAGAATTGAACAGACCCCCCCTCCCCCCCTTTTTTTTGATTTCTTTCTCCACTCGGGATTTGCAATTCAGTGTGGGTAACAGATGGTGAGAGTGAGCCTAGCTGTGCTCTGAAAAATACCCACATGGCAGTCTGGGATTTTTTTTTTTTTTTTTTTTTTTTTTTTTATATTTACTTGCTCTTAATTATTCAGGTCATGGTGTAAGAGGTAGTGCCGGTGACAGGTTTGCTTCACAAGCCCAATTTAGTTGATTGATAAAATGTGAAAAATAAGCAGGCGAGCAGCTGCCTCAATTTAATATGAATTCAGGGAAAAGGCAAATGAAGACATTTGTTAGCTCCTGCAGTTTCAATCGCCGTGATTGATTGCACGATCTGGCAATTAGTGAAGTGACAATTGCCAGCGTGATTGTTTTTCCTGTCCACCGATTGTCTTAAAGAATGATTACAAGTACATCCGTTGTCTCGTTTGTTTGTTTTTTCGGTAGCGGTTGGCAGTTTGTGATGATCGCCGCATGAAATGACGATGGTCTTTTTGTACAAATCGCAAATAAATAATTCCATTGAGACATTTTTAGGTCATGAGCATATAAAAATACCTTTAAGCATGAAGGGTGAAGGATGAAAGACATGCAGGATAAATATGGAAAATTTCACACGGGTACCTCAAAATACTAAAATATTGTCTTTTTTGTTTGACAAAAGGCTGACTCAGCTAAAGCCGCTAATGGCTCTCAGGCCCCAAATGACATTCCCCGTGACCTTCTACTGCCTGATTAAATATAATAAATATCATCCTAAACTACAGTCCAACATAAAAAGCCTGGCGGTGTCAAACTGTCATTCATTAAAGCTATGATTTGCTTATTTGATCGGGAGACAGTAGTAGACTCTGTTAGCTTAGCATGCTAACTTCTAGCATCACTTTGAACATTGTCACCAACAATACATTTCATTGTGATGATTCACCTCCTCCCCCCTTTTTTTTGGGGGGGGGGTGATCGCCACAGAATGAATTCAACACATGTCTCAAGGCACCCTTATTTATGGAAGACATTCAACTTGAAACTAAAGCAGTCATGTGCTACGCTAATGCACCACGAACGGCTTGATTAACTTCGAAAATCCACGGATACGGTCCAACTTCAAAGCTTTTGATTTACACAGTGCATTTTTCTGGCTGAGTTGAATCGGGGGGCAACTTTAATCAACCACATTTCCACATGTCTGAGGCCGATAAAAAAAAAACCAAAACAGATAAATAAAGAAATACATCTCTATCTGCATATTCGTATACGTTGCAGTTTTGAGGTGTGCTCCAACATCACTGCAGAGGTGTACATGCGCGCCTACCTGACGCCGTGCATCAACGACTGCGGCACGTACGGACAGTGCAAGCTGCTTCGCACCAACAACTACCTTTATGCCGCGTGTGAATGCAAAGCAGGTAAGGAGCTAACGCCAATTGCATCATGTGAATCCAAAAAAAAAAAAAAAAAAGAGGTTGTTTTCTGCAACGGATTTGACGATCCGCTGATGAAATCTATCGGTTGAGGTCACGCAGCGGCTGATGCTAATCTTTTGATTCAAGCAATTTGGAAAGTACAATGAAAAAGGCGCTTAATGAAGAGCAGCTCTTCAATAAATTAGGAGCTTATAAAGCTAAACAAAGCTCGTTCTTTGAGGGTTCTTGAAATCCTGCTTTGATTGCCAAGTTATCAGCGGCGCTAAATTTTACCGTCGTTGCTTAAATGTGGTTCAGCTCGTGCCCCTGGCCTCAAATTCTCCATTTGGCTGCGCTCACAAATATTTCATTCACGCCGTCTTATCCAATTTACCTCTTGATCGAGCTCCAATTCGTGTTGCGCAGAGGCGATCTCACCAGGAGGCCCTATGTTGCCGGATAAAAAAAAACAAAAAAAAACTTCCCAAATCCCTCTTTTGCATATTTCTCCACAGGGACGGCGTGTTGTTTACAAAGACGACCTGACGAGGGAATAGTTCAGTCACTTTATGAGCGATGCTGCGCACTAAAACAATGTTGGGTCGCCTTCCTCAGCCACTTGTTGTGTAGCTGTGGATTTTGGGAAGGTTGGGGTACTTTACCAAGGTTGGCTTCAGTATTTTGGCCCAGCAAATTGGGTTGGGGATTGTATTTGGGTGGGCTGAAGAGGTGAAGCTGTTCGTGGACTAAAGTTGAAGTCAATTTGATGTAACATTCTTTGAAAAATTTGCTGGTGGCTGGACGGCTCAGTGGGGAACAATGCTTACGTGAGCCACAGGGATCCGGGTTCAAATCCCGATCAGGGTGGCTGACCCGCCTGAAATTCATATGAAAATGAAAAATTGGTTCACTTTAAATACCAGTTGGGTCAAAAATGCACTGATCCACCTTTTGGGGTTATTTATTTCACACCAAATTGTATTTTTTTTTTTCCACCCAAATTTTGTGTTAAACGAACAACCTAAATGTTGGGTCGGTCCCTTTTTGCCCCAATGTGTCTTATTTTTCACTCACATGTTTTTAGAGTGGTGACCCCTGATAGCGGAAAGTTGCGTCGTCTTCTAAGACAAATAGTCATCCAATTTTTAATTACAAACTATACTGATAGCCTGATCATCCATCCGCGCCGCCATCAAAAGAACAGTGAACACAAAATGACAAAATAATACAACACAACACATAGGACTTATCAATCCTGAGTGAGCTTTTTAACTTTTTTTTTTTTGTTTTTTATCTTGCCCTGCACAAATCTTTAAACGTCTTAAAAAAAACAAAATAAAACAAACCCTCCCCCCCAAAAAACTAAAGCTCATGCTAAAACTAATAAAAATGTGACTTAAAAAAAAAACTGTTTTAAGAACGAATTAAAACGATCCAAAAAAGAAGTGAAAATGAAATACAAACTAACAATACTGAAAACAATCCCCCGCTGACACAACCGCGATGCGCGCGTGTGTTGGCTGTGCACATCAGGCTGGGAAGGCTGGGGATGCACAGACAATTCCGAGGCCTACTCGTACAGCTTCCAGCTCCTCTCCACCCTGCTGCTGTGTCTCAGTAACCTCATGTTCGTCCCGCCGGTGGTCATCGCCGTGCGCAGCCACTACCTGCTGGAGGCCTCGGTCTACATCTTCACCATGTTCTTCTCCACCGTGAGTCCCTCCAGACAATCAAGCAGCTCTTTTGTCGCTGTGTCATTCCACTTATTTCATGATAGGACAAAAGACCCCTGAGCTTTGGCGGAAAAGCCTGCGAGGCAGAGCGCTGACAAGGAACGCGCAACCGACCAGTCTAGACATTTGAAGTTAACCGCGTTATCAGTCTTGTCAGTTTTTTTTTTTTTAACTCTTAAGGGAGCTTGCTTTGACAGAATAATAATATGAAACGGAAGACTCGTTTAGAATCGAGGCATCCATCTAAGGACAATGATTTGTTGAAATGGGTAGAGTTGAAGTTTACTGTCAAAGTAAACACCAAACAAAGAGAAATTCATAGTGTATTTAAAACAACCAAACAGCTTTAAAAAAAAAGCCCCCGTGAGCTTCATGCTAACATATAGAGGAAAACGCCATTGACATGCTAGTGATTAGATTCCAAGCGAGACCCACTTTGATAAAGTCTCACAAGATATACTAACAGCTTGCGAGACACACAATGGCAGTTTTGACCTTTGTTGCATTTTGTCTGACATTTTTCCAGACATCTTTATTAAATACAGAATCCGCTGCCCTCTTTCAAATCACAACCACACAAAAATGACATTTAAAAATAAAAAGTGATTTTTAGTTGTACGTTAGACCATCAATTTTCCACCCATTTCCTACAGTACATCGTTGCGACATCGTCTCACGTCTCCCGTTTTGTCTGGCCCTTCCCGACAGTTCTACCATGCGTGTGACCAGCCGGGCATCGTGGTCTTTTGCATCATGGAGTATGACGTTCTGCAGTTCTGCGATTTCCTGGGCTCCCTCATGTCAGTGTGGGTCACGGTCATCGCCATGGCGAGGCTGAAGTCCATCATTAAACAGGTACACGCTGACGACTTAGATGACCGTTTTTCTTTTGTACACTACGTTGGGGATTTTGGGCTTGCTGAGATTCTACTTTCTTCTTTTAGCGCTGAGGTCTGATGATCCTTAAAGAAAAGACAATTTAGTGAGTGCTAAGCTGTAATGAGTCAGTTGTGTGTGTGTGTGTGTGTGTGTGTGTGTTTCTCGTAGACAGAAAGATCAATACGTTTGGTTATGTGACTGTCTGCTTGTTGACACGATGCGCGGAGCAAACACTAACAGGTGCGGCTTCTCCACGGGTCACCACGGCCCCGCTGTGAGCCAGGATGGCGCGTGTTCACAAATGAGACGGAAAAGAGGCGGGGGACCAATGGCAGGGCGCGTGTACCAACATCTGCCGTCCTCCAGAGTTTTGCTTTTTGCTGAGCGCTGCAGTCCGTAGCCTCTAATCAAATGCGCGTCAGGACTGGCAAGTGCAAGTGTGTGTGTGTGTGTGTGTGTGTGTGTGTGTGTTTGTTGAATGTCGAGAGACATTGTGGGTGCGTGCGCGCAGCGGCGGCAGCAGCAAAGGACCTGAGATTGTAAATATATGCTATAATTAAAATTTCACACAAGGACTTTGTAGCAACCTCAAGGGAGCCGTTAATCTCCACTGACTCCAGGCTAATGCGCCTTCAATCGGTCCGAATCAAATATGACACCATCAGACTTTTACGCTGTATTGATTTCCCTTTTTCTTGTCGCGTCCTCTACTTGATGTTTTGGATGGTCGCGTTGTACTCAATAGAATAGCTGAGTACCAGGGGGGGGTCGAGGGGGGGGGGGGACCTGATAAACTCGTGGGCAAGTTCAGAGCTCCGCTAAAGACTGACCAAAGCTAATATGGATCAAAACCAACATGTAGACTTGGAGACATGGAGACTTTCGCACTTTCTGCGAATTTCCCGCCATGTGTTTTTGGCACTGCTTTTTCTCCTGAAGGTCGCAGGTGAGTTGGATCGTAGATGGCAGACTTTGAGCGAGCGAGACGGGGTCGGACCCGTGAGTGCTTGCCTTTCACACTCACTTTCATACCTCAGGACAGTTGAGCCCTGCGTGTGTTTTGAACGTGGCGAGAAGCTGGGCGAGCTGGGGGGGAAAAGAAAATCATACATTTTAAAATTTCAATTCCCTGTGACGGTGGTCCGGTGGTTAGCGCGTTGACATCACAGTGCAGAGGTGCAGGGTTCGATCCCGGGTCCGCCCTTTCTGTGTGGAGATTGCATGCTCTCTCCGTGCCTGCGTGGGTTTTCGCCGGGTACTCCGGTTTCCTCCCACATTCCCCCCCCCCCCCCCCAAAAAAAACATGCGTGGCAGGCTGATTGAACGCTCTAAATTGTCCCCAGGTGTGTGAGCGCGGATCGTTGTTCACCCTGTAATGGGCTGGCAACCGGTTCAGGGTGTCCCCCGCCTACTCCCCGAAGACGTCTGTCATAGGCTCCAGAACCCCCCACGACCCTTGTGAGGATAAAGCAGATCAGGAAATGGATGGATGGTTGGATTTCCTGTGCCTTGAGTTTTCATTATAAGTTAGTTTATAGTTAATTCACTTCCCGTAGTTTTAATGACTTTCGAGGGGATGTTTTTTTTCTCTCAAAATGCTTTGTTTTAGTTATTAGTCTTCATATTAGTTTTGTTAGTTTTTGCTTGTTTGGGTGCTAAGATTAAAAAAAAACAAATGGCCACTAAGTATTGTGTACTATAGTAAACTACAATTCTCCAAATAGTATTTGACCTTCCTTCTTCTGAACGGACGCACAGCAGTACCTCAACCAATACCTTTAAAATGAGCCCTGAAAGCCCCCCGCCCCGCTTCACCGTCAAACCTTCCCAGACGTCTTGCACTTGAGTGAGTTCTGCCGTAATTGAAATGACACCGGATGCAGCTTCATCGAAAAACGCGGTCATCGCCACAAAGGGAGCGTGCGGCGCACCGTTGTATTTTGCCACGCGGGTGATGGTGTCAGTGTAAATGACAGATCAAAAAATTTAATAAATAACCCCCCCCCCCCCACACACACACACACACACACACACACACACACACACTTGAATCCTCCGAAGCTCATCCATCACCATGACAGATAATGATTCATTAAGGTGCCCGGCCTGTCGGCAGGCGGTCACATGTCCGCGCTTGAATACAGTACAGTGGGGGGGTACGTGCGTGTTGCGCCAACAGCGACTGCGTGACCCGTGGCGCGACGTGACTGATGACTGCTGCCGCACGACGCCGCACCCCTCCTTCCCTCGTCTATTCCAATTAGTGGTGTACTCCTGCGGGCGGGTCATCCCTTCCCTGCTCGAAAAACCACCAAATGTCTCCTCACGTTTCCCCCGGCAGACGAAACGCAGACGGCGGGCGTGTGTGGCATATCTTATCGATTTCCAGCCGCTCCCTCCACTCGCACTTTATCTTTCCCTTACATGCTTGTGGCTTTGTGTCAAAATTGTGAGCTTGACAAAAAAGAAAAAAAAAAAAAAGCAAACAAAAACTTAAGCTGGTTATTTATAGACGGTGCTTCACGTCCTCCTCTCTGTGCTTTGTTGTCATGGTTGTGATGGCGGCCGCTCACCGCAGAGGAGGCCCGCTTGGATGAATTTTGTTCCAGTTGCACTTTGGAAACGATGCTGCCTCGAGATATAAATTCAATTTGTTTCCGGGAACACGCTCGTAATGTAAAACACCCGTTTTTGGTATGTAAGTACATTTTAATTTTTGATGTAGTGTCGAGATACCTTCAGTGAAGAAGTACAGTCCACGTTTGCACATGATTGGACTTGAGGTTGCTCCAAAATCCTTTGGAGCCACTCGACATTGATGCATGTGCTTGTTGTTGCCCCCCCCCCTCACTCCCCCCACTTTTTTTTTCAAGGTGCTGTATTTGCTGGGGGCCATGTCCCTGTCCATGGCTTTGCAGTTGGACCGTCACGGTTTGTGGAACCTGCTGGGACCCAGCTTGTTTGCTCTGGGCATCATGGCAGTGGCATGGGTAAGTCCAATATTTGCTCTCCAACAGACCCTTTTTTCTTTTTTTTTTTTTTCCCAACCAAGCACTTTGCTGCTATTTGAGATGTATTGCTTGCCCTAGCAAAGGTCCTGGTAAATTTTCATGGGAATTTCAGATGGAGTATTTAGGGACGGGGGGGGGGGAATAGTCCAATTTGGAAACTATGGTGATTGGAGGAAGCGATGAGAATTATTGGAGGGTATTATATTTCAAGCATGAATGTTGCCGCATCACTGTGGGCGTGACGGCTGAGCCAGGGGGGCAACCCCCCCCAAAACAAAACAAAACACTAAGTCATAAGAAGTGGCTGTTGGTGGGGCAACTCAAGTAACGACAGTCCTTCCATAAAATCGGGTTGTTCTAAAGGATTTTGCCAAATTAAATTTCCCTCAACTACATTTAAGTTGCATTCGACGAACCCGCCTTCAATTTGATTCCTTTCCATTCATGCCAGTTTCCCCCTTGGAAAATTCCCATCCTTTGCAGCCCTCCTCAGACTGCACCGACGTAACATCAGGACATTTGGCTCGAAGCTAATGCCGCCGGGGTGTGGGGGGTGGGGGGCGTTTGACTGCCCCCAACGCTCTAGTTCCTCCCGCTCGTAGGTGTTAATCCGTCACTTCGGCTCACATGTGCGTGGCTAAAGAACTGCGCCCCTCCGACCGGCGAAGCCTTTTCACATTAGCACCGAAGGGCTTTTAAAAGTTCTGCAGCCTGCGCGGGTATTAGTCATGGCTTACAGTTCCATTACAAGTCATCGTGTGCGTGAACTGACTCTTTTCTCCGACCTCATGCGCGCTCGGAAAAAAAAATACAATAAAAATTGAACGGCACACCTCCGACGGGGGCTGCAAAGAACACGGCGTGCGGCTTCACCTACAAAGCGACGCGTTGAGGAGTTTTGTCTGCCGGAGGATCCGCCAGACAGCACGCGTGTTTAAATCGACCGCCTTCGGTTTTTGAGCCCGTAATAATAGACCATTTCGTGTAATCACAGACCCGAGTCTTAACGTCAACCCTTTAGTCTCGGCGACAATTGCGATTTTCACCCCTTACGTTGACGTGAATGCAAATGCCGCGTGAGATGCGGCGGCAATATCTGCAGAACACAATTAATTGCGGGCTGGCATCTCGTCTGCGCCGATGAAAGCAGGTGACGGATCGACGCTGACAGGTCCCGGTAGCCGCAGCTGAACGATCACGTTGCTGCCTAAACGTCCGGCGCATCTCTCCATTTGGAGCGTTTTCAACAAGCGCGCCTTCATTTTCGAGACTGCATATGCGGCCATTGTTCCCGCCGGCAGACGCCAACAAATTAGAGCAGTCAAGCGGAGGGCACCCAACGTTTGCCGGCTTTGCAGGAAGTGTCGTGCGCGCATCCAGGTCGAAATCTGTCACCGCCAAGCTCTGTAATTCCCCAAACTAAACCAGCTTCCTGATTTACGCAGGAACAAAGACCTCCCCGGGTTCCGACAAACAGTAAAACACAGCGGTTGAGGGTTTTTTTCAGTTCAATTATTTCCTGAACCTCACCAGTATTCGACATGCTAATTTAATCGCCGCCATTTTCCAGCTGGAATCCATGTAATTATTCTGCTCACTGATGGGTGCTCTATATCTGTCTTCACAATCCATCCCAAGGCGCCTTGGGAGACATATCATGCAAGCAATCAGTCTTTATGAATGGGAATAAAAGGGAAAGACTGGAACGTGTCGCCGGCGCGAAGAGAAACATGAAAAATCGACCCGCTCAGCACTTAGAGCCTTTTCGGGCCACTTATGAGCGGATGAGAATTTTCCGTACTAAACTCAAAACGACATCCGGTGACGATGCCACACGGGGGGAACAAAAAAGGAGCAAACAACAACATTAATTGTGTTTTAGTGGCAGCCGCGGCGCGGCGGCGCCATTGAAAACATCGATCTGTTGATTGTCGCCAGCATCGCGTGCGGCAAGAACATCAAATCAGTTAAAAGACACCAAAAAAAAAAAAAAGGAAAATAGTCCCTTAGTTGGGACATTGCTAAATACTGATATGCCGTGAAAGCTGTTACCTGGAAACACAAAATCCAACTTGAGGATTTCAACTCGCCGTGATGCGCGTTGTCCAGATGCACTTAGGCCTCTTGTTCTTGTGTTCAGCGCAGGTCAAGACACATGCAGCATATTACAAACCCCCCCCCCCCAAAAAAAAACGTACATACACAGCAACATCTATGTATTAGTCGACACATTGACTTTCACCGCTCCACAATGATGGTTAGCACTTAAAGTCAAGCGCCAATCGTGTTTCAGCATCAACAGCGAGGACACCTTGCGTTTTGGTCCGCACAGGAAACGAACATTGGTGCCTGGAATTTGTGGAACTGCATGACTACAAATCGGCCCGGTAGCATGGGAACTTGCAAAATATGCAAGTCTGACATTTTCTAGTTACTTTGGTAAATTATTACATCGCAACTTTCTGTGTAAGGTGAGAAGACAAATTGTTTCGGAGTTTTATTTTTTTAGGGTGGCCAACGGCCCTGTATCTCACTAGACTAGATCCACCCCTGCACTGAGCAGTAGCCGAATCCCTTTTCCACATTCATAACCAATTTATGAGTAGTAGTGGCGCCGATTTTTTATTTTCTTTTTTTCGACACTGCACTTTCTCACACTGTCCATCTCCACCCGATTTTTTTCTTTTAGAAATTTACTAGAGTTGTGGGCCCTGTCAAATGTCCTTTTTAATATCTGCCGCGGGCCGCTGAAAAACGGGTGGTGGGCCGTAAATGGCCCCGGCCCCTCTTTTGGACACCACTGGTCAAAATCCCCAAGTCAACTGTCAATTAGCGAATTCACAGATGGCGCGTACTAGGCGCAGTCCGTAAACAGCGCGTAATTATTCTTTCTCTTATTTTCCCGGTCCGGTCAGACGGTGCGCACCGTTCGCCGGCGGCGATGTTACCCGCCCACCTGGAAGCGCTGGGTGTTCTTCCTCTTCCCGGGCACGGCCATCGCCACGTCGGCCGTGGCCCTTTACGCCTTCGTGGAGACGGAGGAGAACTACTTCTACATCCACAGCATCTGGCACATGCTGATTGCCGGCAGCGTGGGCTTCCTGCTGCCGCCCCGCGCCAAACCCGACGCCAAGGTGACGCCGCTGAAGCGCCGGCGAGGCTGCGGCTATCAGCTGTGCGTCAACGAGCACGAGGAACTGGGCTTGGTGGACCCGGCCATCATTTCCATAAACAGCATCTGCACCAGCTGATGAACTCCCGCACTGGCGCCTCCCTCCTCCTCCTCCTTCTACCTTAGTGACACTTCATTGCCTTCTTTGACTTGGGACGTTCACACACGGGAAATAAGCCACAGAACTTGAAGAACAGATGTAAATACTTTTATGCAGATACCGACCCATGGTCATCTTCTTGTCGTCATGGTTACCGTTGTTGGCCCGCCCCCCCCGTGAAGCGACGCGACACCACACGGTTCGGTTGCTACACTGTCCCAACGTTTCTCGCTAATTGATCCATGTCAAGTCCGTTTGATTTGTATCGCGCCACTTCACAACAGAAGTTATCTCGAGGCACTTTACAGATTGAGCGAGTCAAGAACCACACTCCAGACATCATACAGCGGAACCTGAATTTACCAGACCCTGAACCAATTCAGCGGGCAAAAAGTAGCTATCAAAGGCTGACAGTTCCGGAATTGGTTGCATTAGCATTACACGTGTTTCTTGCTAGCACTGCTCTCTCATCCGAGGTATAAGAGACGTTACGGTAGACCAGAGCAGCCTAAAAAGTGTGCCGTTATGGCACTCATCTTGGCAGAGGCGACTTTGTCATCAAAACAACGCATGCGTCGGCCATGTTAGCATGGGAGAGCATTGCTTCAAAATGTAATGTAGCATAGATGTTAGCTTAGCATCCGCGGCTCCAAGAGTGCGTCGTATTGACCTATTCGTATCATTTTCACTGGAGTGAGTGGCGTACGCATCTCTTGACCATACTCATTTTGGAGAGTTGTTGTTTTTTTTTGTAAATCCATCCGATCGTAATAGAAGTGAAAAAAGACAGCGCTAACATTGTGGCTCATGAACGCGACCAGACTTTCCAATCGAGTCACGTTTTTTTTTTTTTTTTTTCATATTTAGTGGACGCTAATTTTGTGCGGTACAGCACGTTTTTACACCATGAAAAGTACAAAATTGTATTGGGTGCCTTCAGGCCAGGAACAAAAAAAAAAAAAGTACTTTGATGTAACGGCCAGTCGGCTCTAACGGCTGACAACTCAACCCAAATAGTCTGTTAAATCGAGGTTCCACTGCATAACAATGTATAAAAGGTTTAAAACCCAGGCCCACCAGGACTGAAGTGGACCATCTTGAAAAGGTTCCACTTGGCCACTCACACCAGCACACCATGCAGTTGAACACAGGACATCTGCACCGGCATTAGTTTTCGCTGAACCACAAAAACACGGCGCGATTGTCAAAGAAGAAGCAGATCGAAACAAAGACAGGAAATGAGCAAAATAGGAAAGAGAGAGCGAGAACGTTTCGAGAGAGTGTTGACAACGGCCCATCGTCCCATTCACTGACTGCGCCCGTGCGTTTTGGCGAACAGAGACTCTCCACCCTTTACTTTTCAACCAGCGCTCTGGTTGCCGAAGCCCGCACACCGCGCGACGGCGGGTTTCGGTGTGCGCCACCTCTCGCCCCAAAGCTCACCTGTGACCCTAATTGAGGGCAAGCGCTGTAGAAAATTGACGGATGACTGTTCCGCGGCAGCACGAGCCCGATCGATTTTGACTCTGCCCGGCGCACGGGGTGGGGGGTGGCTTTCGTTCACCGCTCTTGAGCGATCGCTTCGCGGGGGCTTCACACCGACCGTCGACTTTGGCGCTTTTGTAAGTTACCATGGAGACAAGTGCAAGTACTACCGCTGTGTGTATAGTGATGTCGTTCTAATGGCATATGAGCGTGTGCCGTGCCGGTACAGTGCCCGCGCTTGTTTGTGAATATGCATTCAAAGTCAAGGCTGCTATCTGACGGTGACTGTACAATTGCTTCCGTTGGTTATTTATTGAAACGGGCTTGAAACGTTACTTTTTGCGTACAGGGTTTTTTTCAAGTTCAGGCTCCTCATCACCTCATTTCATATTTCAACACATTGTGCAAGATATCCCCAGAAGGGAGACAATTTACATGTAACTTTGGACAAGCCTTTGTAGAATGGAATAGCAAAATATTACTTTGTGGGTCTGAAAAAATCAGTTTGGAAAAAACAAGAAAAATCATTGGAATGAGTTTATAAAATTGTTGCAAAGAAGTTGAATTTTTTTTTTTAACTAACCACAGTAGGTCAAACATTTTTTATTTTTTTTTGTGGTGGTGGGGGGGTCATTTTCCAGAAACTTTCATTTCTGCTCATGCTGTCTCATCTCATTTGGATTAAAAAAAAAAAATTACAGTTAAAAAATAAAATGAAAAAAATAAAAAATACTGCCCCCTCTGGCAAACCACTGAAATTGAGTGAAAAGTACTCTTACGATTTCTCGAGGGCACATTTTTATTAATTTTTTTCTTTTGGATGATAGGATACCTTTTGCACTGAGACGCACCAAATGTCATGTCCATTTTCGTAACCCGCCGCGGGTGTTCACGAATGCAAAAAGAAAAACTAGTTGTCCTGTGGAATGTTAGACAGTCTTTTGCAACGGCAATGTTATCGCTTTCAAACCAATAGTGCTGATTGCTCTCTGAAGGAACAAATCCGAAATGCAGCCGCGGCCTGTCGGGAGGAGAGCGAGACCGAGGTTGGATCACTGCAGACCTCAAATCAACACCGGTCCTCCTCTCCGCCCCCCCCCCGCCCCCACCCCCGCTGACAGGACCTGCGTGACACCACATTCATAAACAATAAATGTTTTCTTTCTTTGCCTTTGGCTCTCACGACTGCTTTTCCAACGAGGCTTTTCAAAGATTGCAATTCGCGGCCCTTAATGGAAGCCGGGGAGAGTGAGATGAGACGGCGCTGTCAACGGCATCCTCGCAGGAATAAGGCGGGAGATGAATAATTCTCCCGCGCAAGCATCGCCGCTCTCTGCCTGCCACAAAGCCGTCTGCCTGTTTGCTCATTGCTAAAGTAGAAGTGTGACTTTGTGCCGTCGGAAATTACGACACGGTTTCGGTTTCCTCTTGGGAGAATGACAAAAATATTTACGAGCGTTCCCACTGTTTTTTGCTTTTTTTGTCACTGTGAATTTACTGCCTGCGCGATCTTATGAGCGATGCGTCAAAGAAATCATCACACAGAAGGTAACAATGCTGACTTTTGACTGACAAGGTGATCAGTGTTTGTGGCGGCGATTGCGGTTCTGCACTTCCGACAACCGAGTTAAGGCCACCCAAAAATTTGACGTGGTGAATGTCAGCCCCACCTGCAATCGGTCAAAAGGTGCAACGTGGAAAGAAGGGCCCATACCGTTGATTTTTTTTCTTCTTTTTGGCAGATTCCGATATTTGGCAGAATGAATCGCCGGCCGATTAATTAAAAGGAGACAATGACAACCATCACACTTAAAAGCTATATTTGTATCGCTCAAACTGGACCACTGGATTATGTCGGCTATCATTCTGCCATTTCTGAGTCTGAAGGGGTGCCGAATGAAGCGGCCAGTGATTTGCAATTCCAGCGTTGCGCCAAACCGGAGCAAGAGTCATTTTGAGTTCACCACAATGCAATCAATCGCTTGTTATTCCAAGTTTGTACATTACATTTTTTTTTTCACCAAAACTGATCCAGTTGTGCGGATTAATCACACAAAAAATGTGCAAAATGTATTTCAATGAGAGCACCCGAAGCTACTGAACATCCTTCGGTCGCACTCTACAAAATGAAAACCGGGACGGCAACCTTTTGTTCCGATTTATATTCTGCATGCTGTATATTTATCGCTCGTCATTACATTAAGTACGATAACAAGGCACAAAGGAACAACCCGTGCATTCAAACACTCTTTGTTGTCTCTTCATCTCTTGAGAAAAAAAAAAAAAACCCACATCTTGGCACTATCCTTTTTAGTCCAAGACATTCAAGGATGGCGCAAATGCAAAACGACGGACTGCTTCCATATCGAGTCCTTTCGAGATATGTATCAGGCACTTCAAAAAAAAAAAAAAAAAAAAAAAAGCATGAAAATTCTTGTCATGAGAAAGCAAATCTGCCGCGTGTCAGAGTGGCGTCCTTTGCGGCCATAAAAGCCCCGCCACTGTGAGCGGTGGCGCGACCACAAGGACTTTTTTTTTTTTTTCCTGGACATTTGAAAATCGTCCTTCCACCGCGCGTGAAATGACAGGCCCCTGTCTTCTTTGTATTCATGGCATCTTGATGGCCTTAATCTGATTTTACGGATTACTATTCCTCCGACACGCAACGGCGACCTTCAACACGAGAAACCGCATCAGCCCGAAACATTTGCCTTGACTGAGCGCCGCCCCTCGACAGAAATCTGCGACCGCTGAAATCATCGCAAAAACGAGAAAATGCAATTGGCAGTCAACATCTTCAACGCGAGGCCGAGAAACGACGCTCCGCGGCGTGCCCCTTCTCGACATTTATGGAAATGGTTGAATGGATGCCATTCGGACTTGCTTCTCTGCTTTTTCGAGTACAAGATTTCAAGAAGATGCGCGCTGAGCATCTGGTGCGATTCGTCACGTCTGCTGATGGCTTAGCGAAGAGGAACGACGAGAGCCGTTGCAGATGTTCTCCAGGGTGAAAACACGATGCTTGGGTTTGTTGCGCGCCGTCAGACAGAAAATCAACTCAATTGGGTTTTTTTGGGGGGGGGGGTGGAATAAACACGACAAGCAGGCACTCGTCACCGCCTCATTTCATCCAACAACGAGCGCCTCCACTCTTGCCGTGAAAAGCGTCGCGCCTTCGACATGGAAATGCGAGATTAAAACTTCTGAGAAGAGTGTCGGGAGTTGCTCGCCGCGTTACCGTTTGCGGCAAATCCGACAAGCAAAAAGTCACCGGGGGCCTCTTGACATTTATCTCCGTCAGCCATTCAGGGCCGAGCGCTCGACGAGCCCGGCAGCCAAGGCGGCAATTAGGAGGAGATGAAGGAAGTGCGCGGAGATTACGGAGTTTGAAAAGAAGACGCTGATGAAGACGGCAGATGAGGATAAAGCAGGAATTATTCTGTCATGGAAGACAGCGGCATGGGGGGGGGGGGGAAAAACATCTTTTTGTTCTGTTCTGCTCGTCGGAGAGGCTGAATGTTGCGTCATGGATCTCGAGTCTGAGTGCACAGTGGAACCTCAAACCACCATGCATATATTCTTTATCCATTGCGTAGAACACTCAATAGCAGTAATATAGCAGCCGTATAACGCATCTGGCTGCCTTGTACTGCCCTAGGTTAAAACTTTAATTTGAAACCCTAACCCGAGTTTAAAATTCTAAATTGGAACCCAATCAATAGGTTAAAACCTTACTTTAACACTCTTAACCTACTTTAAAATGTTTATTTGAAATCCTAACCCCGGGTAAAACCTCTACTTTGAAACCCTAAGCCTCATTTAAAACCCTACTTTGAAACCCTAACCCTAGGTTAAAATGTTAATTTGAAACCCTAACCCGCGTTTAAAACCCTACATTGAAACACTAACCACAGTTCAAAACCCTACTTTGAAACCCTAACCCTGGTTTGAAATCCTAGTTTGCAAACCTAACTCTATCTTGAAATCCTAGCCCTAGTTTGAAAAGCAACGACGTAAATGTTCT